TGTAGAGGCAAAGTGGGATGGAAACCATGCATACTCTAATCAGAAAGAAAAAGCAAAGGAAAGAAGAGACAGAGGAAGGGAGGGGGCACGGAAAGAGGAATGAGCTCACCGTCCTGAGACAAATGAGAGTCAACAAAATAAAGGAAAGCTTTTGCACTTGCCGAGAGCTAACTGACTGCCTAACAAAACCTGCACCCCAGGTGTTGGCAATGCTGCGGCCCGGAGATTTGCCAGAGCCTTTGTGAATATGACAGTCATATTGGCTGTTTCTCAACCAAACACAGTTTAACTGTAAACTCACCAGCCTTGGTAATTTTGTGGACTTATTTTTCATTTAAATACCTACTTTTTCAATTAAATACCTAATCATCTTCTTCTTCTTCTTCTTCTTCTTCTTCTTCTTCTTCTTCTTCTTCTTCTTCTTCTTCTTCTTCTTCTTCTTCTCCTTCTCCTCCTCCTCCTCCTCCTCCTCCTCCTCCTCCTTCTCCTTCTTCTTCTTTTTCTTCTTTTTTTCCCCAGGATTACACTCAGGGACACTCCACCACTGAGCCACTCTCTTTTGTATTTTTTTAGAGACAGGGTCTCACTGAGTTGCTTAGTGCCTCACCATTGCTGAGGCCAGCTTTGAACTCTCAAACCTCCTGCCTCGGTCTCCTGAGCCACTGGGATTACAGGCGTGGGCCACTGCACCCAGTTTATTTTATTATTATTATTTAATGTAGTGTTGGAGATTGAACCCAGAGCCTCACACATACTAGGCAAGTGCTCTATCACTAAGCCACATCCCAGCCTCTGATGTACATTTTTTAAATTATTTTTTTAGTTATACACGGACACATATCTTTATTTTGTTTATTTTTATGTGGTGCTGAGGCTCTGTCACTGAGCCACAACCCCAGCCCCTCTGTTGAACTTTTATTTCATGATTTACTCCTTCTGAATCTTGAAATTTTTGCAGAGGGGTGTGTGTGTGTGTGTGTGTGTGTGTGTGTGGTTTTGTTTTGCAGAACTGGGGATTGAACCCAGGGCCTCATGCCTGCTGGGCAAGTGCTCTACAAATAAGCTACCTCCCCAGACCTTTGCAGATCATTTTAAAGCAATCTTTTTATTTTCCTTTTTTTTCCCTATATGATTTTGCCTCCAATTCTTTCATTTCCAGAGGCCCTGAACTCAGGGAGAGAAGCACAATGAGAGCCAGGAGTAAGACCCTGTGTGCAAAAGAGAATCAGCTGAACATTCACTGCTGAATAGCCCCACTCAGCTCCCAGCCCTGGAAGTAAGATGTCTTTTCTCCAATCAAGAAACCAGGGGAACTAGAGAAACTAAAAGCCCCCAGTAAGAAGACTTACAGAGAATAACAGTTGAGGCCCCCAATAAGGAAATCCCGACCACTTTCCAGTGGCCCTGCAGAGAAGCCCAGCCACGGCAGGTCCCACTGAACGCCACGGGCTTCTGGCCAGCTCCTTCCCGTCTGTGCCCAAGGTCTCCCCTTTTCCATTTGTTTGTTCTGGTTTCTGTTTGTTCTGTTAGCCCTCCTTTAGATACCACCCTCCGACGTCTTGTGATGGACATTTTTTCTGGCATTCTAACGTGAGGTGGTCTCTAATGTGAGGTAGGAAATAAAAAACAGGAAAGAAAGGCGAATGTCAGCAGAAGAAAACTTCAACAATGACAACAGGAATCCCCAAGAGAATCTACCCGTGCAGAAACGACGAGGGAACGTCAGGCGAAGACAGCGCAACCAGCAAGGCACATTCCTGGAATCTAAAGATGCATCAGCTGAAATGAACACTTTGACAGTCTGGTTGGAAAACGGTTGGAAAATCACCCCCCGGGAAATAGGAGACAATGCTGGAGAAAAACGAGAGGAGAGAGATGAAAAGAAAATCAGTCAACACAGAAGCCAACATCCAACAAAAGGGGTTCAGGGAGACAATGTGGAGAGGAAGGAGCTACCAAAGAAAGAAGACCCACAAATGTCACCACCAAGAGGCACGACCCCCCAGAATGAACAGGCAGGGAGCACCCGGCACAGTGAAGAGGGGGAAAGGGCACCCACGCACAGTTAAAAAAAAATCAAAATATTTCAAAGAAGAAAAAAATAGTTCAGATTTTTAAGATTTAGAGTGATATCAACTGGGTAGGACTGTTGGGTGCTGGAGTTATAACGCAATGGCTGCAAAAACGATTTCCAACCCAGAAGTCTACAGCTAATCTGGCAATTCAGGAATGAGGGGGACAGATAGGCCAAATCTCACACTCCAGTCCTCACAGGTGTCCTTCCTCAGGAAGTTCATTGGAGATGGGCTTCACCAAATGAGAAGTGGACCAGGTAAGACAAAGAGAGAGAGAGAGAGAGAGAGAGAGAGAGAGAGAGAGAGAGAGAACACATAAGCACACAAGCTGGGTTTAGGAAAGGCATTTTATATTATCTCAAAGCCCCACAGAAATACTTACTAACCACCAAAGGAATTGGAGTAAATTGTCGTAGGAAGTCTGAGAGATCCCACCTTCACCAAGGGATGAAATTCAACATCAGCAGGGACGGGGCAAATGGAAGCCCTGTGCCATTTGATAGGATGCAATGAGTGAGGTGTCCCCTGGAACTAATCCTGAGGGACATCAGACAGGAGGGCTGAGGAGCCACTTCAGAATAAAGAAACTAACAAGACAGGACAACTAAATGCCGTGCACACTCCTGGGTTGGATCCTGGGTTAGGTTACAAAGAACATTAGAGGGAAAATGAATGGAATTTGAATACAAACCCTTGATTAGATAGTAGTGTTTCAATAGCAGATTTCCTAATTTTAATAATTTCATAGAGGTTATGTAAGAGAGTATTCTTGTTCTTACTGAAGTATTTGGGGCTCAAGGGGCGTGATGTCTCCAACTTATTTTCAAATGAATGAGAGAGAGAAATAATCATACGGGAGGAAATGTAAACGCTTTGTGAATCTAGGTAAAGGGTGTGTGGTTCCTCGTACTAGTCTCGCCACACTTCTGCAAGCTGGAAATTATAGGAAAAGCTGCAAAATGTTTCTTCCATTCCATTAAGAGTTCACGTCCTCACAGTTTGCCCTTGATGGTTTTACTAAAAGCATAAATGAACTAGCTGGGCACAGTGGCACACTTCTATAATCCCAGTGGCTTGGAAGACTAAGACAGGAAGTTTGCAAGTTCAAGGCCAGCCTCAGCAACTTAGTGAGGCCCTAAGCAACTAACCTAACCCTAACCCTAACCCTAACCCTAACTAATGAAATATAAAAAAGGCTGGGGATGTGGCTCAGTGGTTAAGTGCCTGTGAGTTCAATCTCTGGTACCAAAATAATAATAATAATAATAATAATAATAATAGAACTAACAGAGCTTAAGTAAGAGCAGCTACGCAGAGATAGGCTGGACATGAATTAATTTCCCTTTGTCTCACCTTCCTCAGCTATGAAATGGACTAAAAATAGTATTTACAACTCAGGTTTTGAGGACTACGTAAGAAAAATGCAGTGTTCACACCTTCTTATTCAAAAGCTCACTTTGAAAAACAAACCCTTAGACACACAACTCCTCCTTGCTCAGACCTCAGCATGCAAAGGTGACACTTGGGCCTTATTCACGCAGTCTGTCCTTGTATGTGCCTAATATTCAGGTTTCTATACCTATACAGGAAGAGGGTGTTTGGACCTCCACTTAGCCCTAACAGGTCTCACTATCTCCCAAGTCCTATTTCACCATCTCAGAAGTATCCACGCTCCAGTGGCCATTTATACAGAGAGAAAAGTCAAGCTGAGAGGCACATCCCTCTTTCTAAACATAAGAAAAAGCTAAGAGGCACACCCCTCAACAACTGGGTGTCCAAAACCAACACACCTGAGACAATCACCCTGGGTCTGGAGACGCAAGCCTGGAATCAAGGACACGCCGTGTATGACTCCTGTTCCCATCCACGAAGAAACAGCAGAGCGAACCTTACCCTAAGAATAACCGTGAAAGCTGGGAAAATACCAACAATGGTCTCCTTGTGAGTTGAATAGTGTCCCCAGAGACTCATTTCTTCCCAGATCCTCAGAAAGTGATCTAATTTGTATATTTAATAAGTTAACATTTTGAGATGATATCATCCTAAATTTCGAGTGTTCTCTAAATACACCGGTTGGTTGTCACATCATGTGACAATGGAGGCAGAGGCTTGAGGGGTGCAGCCGCAGGTCAAAAAATGCCTGGGGTCACGCAGAAGCCAGGTTGGAAGAAGCAAAGAGGGAGTCTTCCCTGGAGGTCTTGGAGGCCACATACCTGCCAGGGCCACGATTTCAGACTTCTGGCCTCCAGAAATGTGAGAGGACTTATTTCTCTTTATGTAAGCCACCTAGTCTGTGATCACTTATTTATGACAGCCCCGGAAAATTAGTACAGGTCTTGTGGTGCTGAAGGTACGAAAGTCAGGATTCAGCACCTTCCAGAGAGGAAGAAACCGGTAAGTATTCCAGGCATCCAATTGAGACCCAGGAGCACTGGCCCTAAGAGAAAGGGGGATAAGATCCAGCCTGGACACCAGACGAGTCTTCTGAAGGATGAAGACACCAGGACCTGCATCCGGGTCACGGGAACCCAGTGCAGAGATCTGTGTATACACGTATGTATAATGGTGTGGAGAAGAGACAGAGAGAGGGCAGGGACGAGGAGAACCTCTAGAAACACTTAACTGATGCCAGGTGCGGTGGCACATGCCTGTAATCCCAGCAACCCAGGAGGCTGAGGCAGGAGGATCACAAGTTCAAACCCAGCCTCGGCAACTTAGTGAGGCCCTAAGCAAGTTAGTGAGACCCTGTCTCAACATAAAAATTAAAAAGGGCTGGGAATGAGGCTCAGTGGTAAGTTGCTCCTGGTTCAATCCCCGGTACTGAAAGAAAAAACCAAAATGATAAACTTCTAAAAGGACAAGTCATTTTTAGGAAAATCAGTAAAACTGATGAAAACCAAGACCAGAACAACAACAACAAAAAAATCTTCTTTTCTTCTCCAACTTTATTAAGGTAAAAATTGACAAAATAAAAAGTTTGCAACACAATTTGATATAGGTATACACTGTGAAATGATTACCATAATCAAATTAACTCCTTTGCCACAATTACTTATCATTTGTGGGAGGGAGGACACTTAATAGCTACTCTTATCACATATTTAAAGTAAATAATACAATATTACTAACTACAATCACCATGCCATACCAAAACAAAACAAAAAAACTTAGAAGTGCAAAGGGCCCATGGGTTAAATCATCACTACAAAAATAAATAAATAAATAAGTGTGTGTGTGTGTGTGTGTATCCTAGACAATGTGATGAGGCAACAAATAACTAGAATGAGAGATACAATGGATTGTAAAGGATCCAGTTAGGTTGTAATAACAGCATGGCATGTTCTTCTTCTGGGTAGTGGTGAGACTCGCCCATCCCTGATGCAGGCACCATGTGTGTGCAGATACCAAGGCCACCGTCCCATGGGGGTCACCCATCCATGTGGGTTGAGGTGGCAGACTTAGGGGAAGGAGGGATGCCTGGCTTGACTCAGCTACCTCTGGCCAGGCGCAGGACATCAGTCTGGTGGCTGACAGGAGGAGGAATCCAGCAGCTGATTGCAAGGTGGGGTCCTGGAGCATCTGTAAGAGTCTGAATTTGCCATGAAATCATTCTCATGCCTGAGCAGCAGTGACACTAAATAACCAAAAAATAAAAACAAAACCAACCACCCATGACAATCAAGAGACAGACGGCAGGAGAGAGGAGGGGTGTTGCATGTTAGTATCTTCAGCGTCTCTTCTTTCCTGCTTTTTGGACAAGAGTCTCCCGATTGCATTTTCCTGGGTGCAGCTAATGATGGGCTTAGCTCAGACCAGGTGCCCTCAGTGTCCACCAGAGGCAGGGTTTGGGGGAGCTGCAGGAGGAAACTCCCAGTTGCTGGGGCCAAAGGAATAGATCTGGGGAAGTTTGCTCTTGTCTATTATTTACTGAACACACCCGGGGCGGGGGGGGGGGGGGGGGCAGACGGGAGAAGTCCTAACAATGGATGTACATGTGGGAGAGAGGGGTGTCATCCTTGGAGAACTAAAAGTCTTACAAGACTCTAATACGCACGGTCTCATTTAGATTTTCTTTTAGTTTCTAAGCAGTTGGTATGCATTTCTAAAAAACAAGAACGCTTTTCTTAAAATAGACATGTATCATATCATCATTCACTGTACCTAAAAAAATTAACACAAACTCTTTGATAGCTTCAAATATCCAGTCAGTTTTCATATTTTCCTGATTTTCTTATAACATTTGCTGGTCCCTGCTTTGCATCCGGCATCTGGCTGATAGGCCTCTGAAGCGTCTTCACAATTCCTTCCTCCCCTCTTTTCCCTGTCCACTTACCTGAAGAAACTGGGTTGTCTTTCCTGTAGTTCTTCACTTTCTGATTTTCCAAGAGCATTCTGGTGTGGTTTCAGTTATTTCTACATCCCTGGATTTCCTGAAAACTGGTACATTAATCAGCATGTCTAGTTAGAGACTGAATCCAAGTCAGCATCTTTGTTTTTGGTAAAATATTTAATAAGGGGTGTGCTGGGTGTGGTGGCACACTCCTGTAATCCCAGCAGCTCGGGAGGCTGAGGGCAGGAGGATCTGGAGTTCATAGCCAGCCTCAGCAACAGTAAGGTGCTAAGCAACTCAATGAGACCGTGTCTCTAAATAAAATGTAAAATAGGGCAGGGGATGTGGCTCCGTGGTTGAGTGCCCCTGAGTTCAATCCCCAGTACCGAAACAACAAAGGATAAAAATAAAAGGGCTGTGTGCTCCATCGGGAGGCAGGTGAGATCGCCAACCACTCTGGAGAGATCCCTCTCTCTCCTACTCACCCCCGAGGTTAGCAGCCACTGACAGATGATGCGTGATCATGAAGGAGATTCATGATGTCAGCAAAGGTTTACAACATACATGCTGTACCCCAGTTCTCTAGCTTTTGTTTCTATATGAGGTGAATTCTTCTGTTCACCATCTGTTTGCCCTTGACGTGCATCTCACACATGTTCTTTACCATTTTCTTTTCCTTCAATCCCCATTGGGCCATGTCTGGTGGAGCTGGAGTCACCGTTTCCCATCACAATTCCCTTCTAGTTGTATGGACTGGTGAGATCTGTGATTGCCTTTCTCCATTTTCCACTAAGTTTTCTAAATTAACCAGGAAGGAATGCAAAAAAATGATCCAGGGTTTTGCAAACTGCACAGAGCAGGCAAAGAAAGGAAAGTGCTAAGCTCTACTGGAGACTGAGAGTCCACCATCAAGCAACAGTCCAAAAGGGTCCTTCACTGATGGGATGCACCTGAGGCCAGACATGACAAGCAACAGGGTGCCAATAAGCAGTGGACAAATCCAAACCAGAGAGCATCAAGGGTGCCGGGGCACGCAAGGTCACAGAAGGAGCCAAGCCCCACCCTTCTCCCAGGAGGGGCACGGGTCCTCTACACATCCTGGGTCTGTCTCCAGCAAGCCCAGGGCGTGTTCCAGCCCAAGTGGAGGCATCTGTTCTCAGCATGGAACCCCAAGCCCTGCAGGGGTACAAGGAAGAAAACAGGCAGACACAGGGAAAGCCTGTGGGTACACATCTCCCCGAGTCAAGGGCCTGGTGCTCAACACGTGCGCCTTTCAGCCGAGGAAGACACGTGGTTTTGTTTATTTTGTGGTTATGGCTTTCTAGCATTGGACACCGTGAGTCACAATATGTTTAACGCATGAAATCTGGGCAACTTGACCGATAGGACAGACCACGACTATTTTTAGGGAATGGCTCACAATTATCAGAATAGACTCAAAACAGTAGAAATTCTGAGTAAACACGCAGAGAACTAGTCTTTAAAAACCAAGCAGCTCACCGAGTGCTCGACAGGAAAGGAAACCTCTTTGGCTTTGACCCATGCTCTTCCTGACCCATTAAAATATACAAGGGCATCATCAGTCATTGAAAGCTAAAATTAACGCCTCACGGGTCTTGCCAGCGAGTTCTGGTGTCTCTAGTGGGGATTTTCCATGCTCTTGCAACAGTCCAGCCTCCGCTGGTGTTGGCTTGCGGGGAAATGAAAGCTGAGTTTCTTGCCTGGTTTTTACAGCCCTGGACACATGGACACCCTGCTTGGTCTTTGGTGAGGACTCCACTCTGGTCCCATTCACTCAAGGGCACCTATGATGTGCCTGATGCAAGGAGGTACACAAGATAGGCAAGAGCATCCGCTGGACCTGGGAACTCGGGCCTCCTAGACCTTCCTAGTCCCCACTGGCCACAAGATCCCAGGTCAAGTCTCAACACTCACGCAGCTTCTAGGCTCTGGAGGGACTCCTAGTGAAAGCAGCACGCGCCCAGTCAGGTTGCTGGATAAAGGTCCCAGCCGAGCTCTCCCTTACCAGCTGTGTGACAGGAGCCTGCAGCCACTTAGAAATGGTCAGGAAGGAGCAAGTGGCTGGAATGGGAGTTTGAAAGGAAGATCAGAGAAAGACCATGTGTGACCATTTCCTCCTTTAATCGGGCTGTAACTTTCACACAGTGAAACATAATGACATATAGACTCTAACGAGTACTGCCCGGTGAACTGTCCACACGAGTCCCAAGTCGAGATGCAGAACATTTCCAGCAGCCAGTAAAGGGAAGTTTCAATGTGCAAATCCCACAAGTCAAGTCAAGTGACTTCTATGATGTTGCCAAAATCGTCCTCCTGCCTGGCTTCAGAGCTGCTTCCTGAAGTGGAGATGGGTTGACAAGTCTCTCATGTCGTTCCCCTGGAGCCCAAGAGCACCACGTACAGACTAGTCACTGGTTGTGGGGTCACAGATAGAGTAGGCAGCATACAAGACCAAATAAGTGGGAGTCAAGGACACCAAGGTCACATAAGGTCATGTAAGGGGTAAAGCTTCACCTTCTTTTGGATGGGGCACAGGTCCCCTTGTGCATCTTGGGTCTGTCTCCAGTGACCCAAAGGCAGCTTGGCTTGGAGTTTCAGTGTGTGCCCAGTTTACTGGCCAATGATGCAAGGACAAAATCTGCAATATTGTCTTCCTCCTAATGTACTATATAGACCAGATTTTCTTTGTTATAATATTTTCAAAATACTGATAAAATTAGAACATGGTCAATAAAAGTTGGGCAATACAGCAGCGTTATCTGAAACAGCCAAAAGGTGGAACCACCCAAATGTCATCGATAGATAAGTGGATAACAAAATGTGCTCTCCCTGTGCAGTGGAATGTTACTCATCGGTGAAAAGGAATGAAGTAGTAATACAGACTACAACATGGATGAACCTCAAAAACATTATATAAGTGAAAGAAGCCAGTCACACAAAAGACCTCTTCTTTATGATTCCGTTCATATGAAAATCTAGAGTGTGGGAATATAGAGAAACAGAAAGTAGAGGAAATGCAGATGAAGGGTTAACAGCCATGGGGTGTGGGGTTTCTTTGTGAGCTGATGAAAATGTTCCATAATTGACTACGGTGAGACTGGACATATTTGTAAATATTCTAAGACCATTGGATTGTACACTTTAAATGAGTAAATTGTACAGTACATGATTATATCTCAGTAAAGTGGTATTTTCTTTTTAATTTTTTTAGTTGTAGATGGACACAATATCTTTATTTTAATTTATTAATGTGGTGTTGAGGATTGAACCAGGGCCTCACGCATGCAAGTCAAGCATTTTACCACTGAGCTACAACCCCAGCCCGTAAAGTGGTATTTTTAAAAAGAAAAAAGAAATTGGAGTATAGTTTGGGGGTAGAGGGTATGCTTAGCATGTGTATGGGTTCAATCCCTAGCATCTCCCCCAATTTTTTTTAAATTCAAGTTTTTTTAAATTAAAATGGAGGCAAGGAAAGGTAAATTGAAAGACCACTCCCAGTCTTACTACCTAAACATGCTCAAGGAACCTCATTCTGGAATATTCCCACATATAGTTATGTTGTTTTACTTAATTACATTCGTATAATATATAAAGCCTTATAGGACTGGTATGATTTCAACTTATATCACTCAGGATTTAATTGCCAATATTAGGAATCACATGAGCTATTTCAAGAGGAAAGGGATTGAACAGAGAGACCTTAGCACTAACAAAATTATTGGGAGGACTGGGGAGAGCAGCCAGGCTGGTTCACCAGAAGAATAACACATGCAGGACTGGCCAGCCAGGGCAGCTGTGGACACTGCCATAGCCAACAACAGCAGGATAGGAAGCTGCCACTGTCATTGTCAATCCAGCAATAGCCTTGCTAGCTGGGACTCAGGATCAGCAAACCACCTCTGGGACTGTTGGCTTCAGAGCAGTGTCATTGGGACCTCTGTCAACACAGCCAAAAATGCATGTGTGCACACACGTAACAATCACAAAAAAAAAAAAGTGTTCACTTCTTGGGCCTACTGGCAGAAATCCAGCAGCAGAAAAGTGACTTACACTTTGGTTCTTGAATAAGTGATTCAATTGTCTGCAAATAATTCACATCAGGAAGCCTAGCTTCAAGGGATTCTTAGAAGAGTAATTGTATATAGGAAGGTTTTTATCGCACCATCTTGTTAGAAACTTTAAAAATCTTTTTATTAGCTGCTTAATTTTTGGTTGAATATATGTATCAACATTTAATTAATCACCCCCACCCATTTATGAAAGTTTGCTTCCAGAGTTTAACATTGTAACTATTCCAGGCTTGGGTGTAGCTCAGCGTAGAACCTGCCTAGCATGTGTGATCGCTGGGTTCCATCTCCAGCATGTCAAAGCAAATAAATAAGATTCTACCGTTTAATATTACAAGTTATAATGTGATAATAATGCCAATAATAACAGCTAAAGTTTTTCAATCCTTGCTTCTCCCAAGCAGTGTGCTTGGCCCTTTATATTCATTATATTTGTCAATGATTTTTTACTTAAAACTCACAATCTCCTTATGAAATGGCTATTATCCCCCATTGAACAGATAACAAAACCAAAGGGCTTTCGAAGTCAAACCTTGATTTGACACCAAGTTTTGCACCCTTAACTACTATACAAATACTCAGGCAAAAGACTTTGGGGGGGTATTAGACATGATTTCCTTGGACACATAACCAGAAATAGAATTACTAGTTCAAAAGCTGTGAAGCTTTCTAAGGCCTTTGATACACATAATCAGGCCAGATTCTCACAGTCATTGTCAGGACCAAGAATATCCTCAGTGGCAGAAACTCAGTTTTATCATGCAAATGCCTGGCTCAGGGGTTTGGCACACTGTGGGCACTTGATGAATGTCTCCTGAATGAATAACAGTGTGTGTAGGAGGACACGAGGGCTCTCCAGTCCAGACAACTGCATTCCTTTGGCCGCAAGAAGCGTAAGCTGCTTCTAAGTCAGTCCAGCACCGATTGCACATGGAAATGAGCAATGAGCCAGAACATGCGACCCATCACGTTAGCCACCTTCACACGCCAGGGGAGTCACTACACCAGCCCAGGCTGACTGTGAAAAGGACTAAAATGATCTGGCAAGTCATAAGTCAGGCACATGTGTGACCATTTTATGCATGGGGCTGGAGATGGCCTCTATTCTTTTAGGTAGATAAATGCGGGGGGGGGGGATTTTTTGTTTTGTTTTGAGCAGGTACAACCACTTTGATTTGGATTGTTTGATAAGTTGATTGCCCTATCAAATGCTGGTTCTCTATATACATACTAGCCACTAGCAACTAACATAGATTGTCACAGTCCACCAGGGCCCAAGGCAAGTTAAACTGTGAGGCCAATGCATTAGCTGCTGCTGACCTAAACAGCCTTTACAAGCCCTGCCCTGCTTCTCTACCAGGAAGGGGTTTAAACCCACATAACCAACCACCAGCTGAAGGAGTTGGTATTGCCAATACCTTGCCACCTCCATGTACTGCTTTTCCCTGCAAAGCGTAGTAGCAGGAGAGTGGGTCCTGGGGATGTCACCACTAATGTGCAAAACACCTGCCACAATCAGCTGGCTGATAACAAGGTGGGTCTGGGTGGCAATGAGTGTGCTGTCTTTTGTCATGTGGGGGTTTCCATATTCCTTTTTGTGCAAACTTATCACTTTTTGAACTGTGCTATTTAGGGGCTTTTGAAGAAATAAAATTGTAACTTGCATCATCAAGATTTTAAAAATACCTGAAGAAAATGTCCATGTCATTTGATTCCTATTACCCAGGCTGTTCTTAAATCTGTGCATCTGTATCAGATCCTCCTGGCACAGTCAGAGGAAGGCTGGGAGGCAGTATTACCCAACCAGACCCTGATTTTATTTATTCCACATGGCCTAAAAACATGTTTGAACATAACATGCCATAATTTTTCTGGTGATTTCTATGAATCATTTTTTAATTATGAATAATGTTTTTAGAGACAGTCCTGCGAAATTTTACCCAAGGTTTCCTTGACAACCATCCCATAAAGTATCTAAAGAGCAGCAGCTCCCATGACCCACACAGAAAACCAACTTGAAAGCATGGATTCCTAAAAGATTCATTAGTCATCTTTGCTTAGACCCCGTCTCACAATTCACACATGCAAAGGGTGACTGGGAAATTTAGATCAACAAACATAGCCAGAAAAAATTCATTTACTGTCAAATGATTGTTCAAAGGGTTTTTGTACAATATAAATTCCCAGCTCCACTTGGAGCCTTCATTCTTTTCTTAAAGCTAGGAATTTTCTATTTTAAATTATTGCCTTCCTGACCTTCATTCTAGGGTTTTCAGCTTCTAAGAGATCAGCTGTGATTATGGCAGGATGGGTTCTTGCTCCGTAGCTCAACCCAGGTCACTTCCAAATTAAAACGTTTGATGATGAGTATGATTTCCATTTATGGGATTTACTTTCAGAAAAAAATATCCAGCTGCTCAAATCAAGTAGGGTCCAAATAAGGTATCCTTGGGATGGAGGGTGCACTCAATGGTAGAATATTTGCCTAGCAAGTATGAGGCACCAGCACTACAAAGATAGATAGATAGATAGACAGATAGATAGATGAATGAGATACTCTTAAAGAACAGGATGGGTGGGGTTAGTCTAGGAATGCCAGCACTTTTTGCAGGTGTATCTCTCCTGGAGTCCACATTCCTTCATTTGACAGTTGACAGCTTCTCTTTAAAAACAAAACAGGGAGGTGTTTTCTAGTCAATTACTGTAAGTAGACTTCAAAAAAACATTTTGTAAGTTATTCTTGTGTGCTAACAATGACATGGTGTTGATCTTTTTCCTTCCCAGCCCCCAATTATACAAGAATCAAAGCAAATTCACACATGATATTTCCAAAACTCGCAACCTTGTTTAAATTATTTTAAAGGTATTCGATGCTTTGGCTCTATATGCAGACACTGGGGGAAAAATACAAGACAAGTGGAAAATGGCTGTTTTGCCAGGAGAAACTAGCACTGAATGGTGCTCCCCCCACACGAACACCTGATTTTCTTCCCCCAGCGCCTGGTTGGATGTACTCATATGTTAGATGTCTCAAAATACTCTTCCTAGCATCTACCTCCCCGATCCCCTACGCCCAGCTCAGGACCTGGCAGATGGGAAGGACTCTCCAAAATAAATGCAAGGTTGAAATTGAAGCCTCTCACACACTGCAATAAAGCGGTTTAATTGGCTAAGACTCTGGGAGAGTAGTAGTACTTGCTTGATTCCAACCCATGGAACCCTGCACCCTGACCTCCTCTTCCGAAAAGAGTACAGCTACAAATGTGCGCGTCCAGCTGAGGTAGGCTCCAGAGGGCACACCCGCCTGGTTCAAAGGCTCTGGGAGAGAAAGCAGAGAGAACTCCGTGGTCAAGTTAAAGGATGCCTTTATTCTATACCGCAGGGTATAGAATGAGTTGGTGCAATAACCAAGATTATTTTTTCCACCCTCAAAAAACTGAAGAGGGTGTTGGAATTGCCCCCTCCAAAATACATATATACTCAGAAACCGCGCAGTCTGAATCCACTCTGAACTGATGCTTCTTCCTGGGAAAATAATCTTGAATTAAGGAGAAGTGCTTATTTTAAAAAGGCTTTCGTTTTACACGAAAACGTGCTCCCCTCTGTTCCTCCTCCCCAGGGTGCTGGCTCTGGCACCTAGAGGGAATTCTGTCTGGGGGCAATTAAAAAGGGGAAAGGGACCAAAAGGGGACGCTGGACTCTCTTCCTCAATCCGAGAGCCTCCCAAAACCCTGCCTCCAGCGCAAGAATTCCAGATCCGAGCTGTGACTAGCACGAAAGAGCTGGGGCCAGCTCGGGAGGTTTTGGAGACGCTAAGAAGATGAAGTCCTCCCACCAGATACCCCATCCACAGGGCCGGGTATCGCTGGCTCCCGTCGCGACACGGGTCTCGGCTTCCTCCTTCCTTTCGGTCCCGACCTCCCGCGTGGAAGGAATCTGGGGAACAGGAACGGAGAGGGGGTTGAGAGACCCAAGTGGAAGAGGATGCGGGATGGGCAGGGCCGCCCGCCTCAGGGCTGGCCGTTGCCGCTCTGGCCCAGGCTCGCCTGAGAGGTCCGCTCCATCCCACAGGACCCCACCCCGAGTGCCCGAGCCCCAGGCCCCCTCCCCGTGCGTGCGCAGCGCACGACCTCCCTGCTCCCTGCGTGAACCCCCAGGCCGCCGGGCACAGGCCCCTGGTGCTGCAACCTGCCGGCCCTGGCTGCGTCTCTAGTCCTGTTGGCCCTCGGGGACTCTGCTGGCCTCAATTCGGGACGTCCGAATAACTCCGAAATAATCCCTGAGATGGCACCCAGCTCCGGGGACCGGGTTACCCAGGCCCTTCTGCGGAATTAAGGCAACCCCCTGCGACGGAAGCCTGACCTCCCCTCCCGCCCCCTCCCTCCCCTGCAGCCGGCCTGGCCGCGTGCTCCACTGTGGCCCGCAGCTCAGCGGTCCCCACGCCGGCGTGGCCCCGCGGCCGCTCAGCTCCCAAGTCCAGCTCCGCTGGTCCGGCGGGGCTTAACTTCAGACCTGGAGTGAGTACCTCAGGCCCTGGACTTCACCCCCTTCTCCCCCAAGGCACGAGTGTGTTCCGCTTCAGACGCACCTCGCAGGAAACCCACCTTCCACGCCGGCTTCAAATGGGAAAAATACAAATCCGCGCGAAGCGGGGAGGTGCCCACACCCGGGTTTGGGGCAGCCGCGCGTGCCCAGGCCTGGCTGGAGGGCGCCTACCCGGCCCCCCCCCCCCCGCCTTTCCGCAACTTTTTCTCCATCAACTGGGAATGCATTAGCTACCTTCCTGAAAATTTGTTCCGAGTAGGCAAGACATTTCTCACCATAGCTTTGTTGTGCCAATAGATCCATTGTGCTAATTAAACGGAACGAGTTTGTGTCCTTAAAGCACCGGGACTGTCCTATATTGTGGTCAACCCTATATCAATATTAGGAAAAAAAAAATTGAGCCCACTATGTTCGTGCTTTCTTTGATGTGCAGAAATATTTATCTCAGGTGGATAGGTTTTATTTTTTAAAGAGATGTTTTGTTAGTTGATGTTTTTGAAGGGATGTTTCGAAGACGCCCTTAATGAACTAATCGGTTTTGAGATTTCGAGGCGACGTGTAATTGATGTAACCACCGAGGACTTTCAGTACACACCAGACTAAGAGGCCTCTGGCTCAAGGGTTTCCAGAAGCGACTCCGAGCTCCCTGAAAGCCATGGGGATTGTTTCTAGAAGAAAGTAGGGCTTTGCCTCTCCCTAACCCGGGATTTCATTTAAATTAACATGGACCAATAACGGTCTGGGAGAAAGCGGCAGGTCGAGGGCAGGTGGGAGGATGTCCGCGGGGACTTCTGCTCTGCCCTCTCTCCATTCGGAAGAGCCCGGCTCTGAGCGCAGTTCCAAGAGATGGGAACAGCCATTTCCCCCCAAAAGAACCTGCCCTTCCTGGAGGTCAGGAGGTGTGTGTGTGAGCACGTCAGCGCAAAGTGCAAAAGCCCCCCACCCCCACCTTCTTAGACACCCAAGAGAAAGTAGAACTGAGCTTGGAAAGAGAAATGCAGAGGAAAGGGCTCATCCCTCATCTCAGGTAAAAGAAAAGTGTGCCGTGGCTGCCGTTTACCCAAACCAGGCGGGGCTTCTGTAACTCCCTGTGGTCTTCTCTCGGGAATTTTCTAATAGCTATAATTAATTACCAGTGGCAATAACTGTTTCTGATCCCCCAATGCATCCCTTAAGAGAGCCTGAGGCCCCCCTCAACCCACCCCACCTTATCCCAGGAATCAGTAGTCATTCTGGACAACCAAGTCCAAAGAGAAGGGCTTTTCCTCCCAGAATCCCAGAGAGCTGAGTCCATTTCAAGCATCCCAGCCCCCACAGGCCACCCTGGAGGTGGGGATAATCTCCCTGCTTTCAGGCCTGTTTGCTCTCTCCTCCTTTCTCTCCTTGGGGAGAGGGAACTGCTGTCCCAGTTTGGTGTTCCCCAGCCACCAGTCCCTGGACCCAGTGCAGAAAGGAGGATCCGCACGACGTTACTGCGATGGAATCAGATAATCAGTTACCCCGACCAACCTAAAACCAAACATTTTCTCCAAAGGAGTAACTTCCAGTAAAAGAAGTTACTATATTAAAAAAAAAAAAACTGAAAAGAGAAACTTCTGTCCCTCAATTACTTTAGAAGGAGTGAGCAGAGCAAGTTACTGCCTTGACCTCTAGAGGAATAAATTATTAGGTAATGGCTCTGGCTACCTGTAATTAATTGTAAATGATTAATTTATATTAATATTGCAATTAATATTGCAATGGTCCCATGCTCCTTTCTAGGAGTAGCAATGACCCCAAAGAAAGCTGGTGATGTCTCCATGGGGCTTACACATGGAAAGCAGTGAAAACTCAAGGTATTCTTTCAGAAACTCAGACCAGAAAAAACTGCCAGACGGTAAAGTCATATATGTGATGCTGGACCACAAGCGGGGTTTCTGAAGTAACCACATTGTGCTAATTGCCTGTGTAGACAAGAGCTTATAAATCACATAGGATCGCATCTCGGCAGCTCTGAATTTCCTGTTGCCTCTGCTTGCTCTGGGGCTGAAGTTCTCTTTAAACTCTACTTTGGTAGAGGTTCGAAATCCAGTGCCTGTAATGGAGGGTACCCCCCCACACACACCACCCCAACCTTAGTAACCAGGTCTCTGATCTGCCATTGCAGCAGCCTCTCTGGAACCCATTCCCGGAGGAACATCTGCGTGTCGTCCCCCTTGATCTCACGCGACAGTCGGTTTCCGCTGGAGATGGGCTTCTCAGGTAGGCGGCGGGGCCGCCTGGGGAAGAACAGTTGCGGAGCATCTGAAGCGGAAAATCCAAACAGATGTGGGGCGGCCTGGGACCGCCCCTTTCCTCTTGGGGCCTGAATTTCGACCAGATCAGTTCCTAGTGGAAAATTTCTAAGAGATGGGGTACCGCAGGGCATGCTCCCGGGCCCAGAAGATTGGAGCACGGTGCCTTGCAAGTAGGCAGCTCCCGGGAAGCTATGGACCACATCTTGCAGAGACCCCTCTTGCTACCTGCCCTCTACAGTTAACTTCCTGGCCAGTAGGCCAACAGCGGTTCTGGTGACACCCTGGACTGGGGTTGATAGGTGGGGTTCACTGCATCTGTGCCTCTCCTGGGGCCATGAGCTGGTCAAATGTGTGAACCAGTAATCTCTCACCACTTCAAGAGTGAGGGACACATAGTAGTTGTCCAACTTAAGGTCACCACGGGATGTTCCTGATTACTCCAATTAGCACTTGTTCACTACTATACCAAGTTTAAGCAAAGCTTCTAACTTCATACTGTCTCACATCTAGGACTGTCTGGGTGTTGTCCTAATTGTTCTGATCTGAGGGCCCCAGGCTTTAACCCAGGTAGGGAGAGCCATGGGACGGCCCCAACCAGAGACTGGGATTTTTTCCTTTCACTATTCCACGTTACTATCACTATCCTTTCGGCTTGGGAAACCTCAAGACTCCTGCCCAAGTACTTGTGGTACTTTCGATCATGCTGTTGGGGGACTCTAGGCCCATAGCCAGTTGTGTGTGTATGTGTGCCCTGAAAGAATGTTTGTGAGGGGAATGGGAAAATAAACAAGGAGAGAAATGAATTACAGTAGATGTGGTAGAGAGAGAAGATGGGAGGGGAGGGAAGGGGAGATAGTAGAGGATAGGAAAGGTAGCAGAATACAACAGTTACTAATAGGGCATTATGTAAAAATGTGGATGTGTAACCGATGTGATTCTGCAATCTGTATTTGGGGTAAAATTGGGAGTTCATAACCAACTTGAATCTAATGTATGAAATATGATATGTCAAGAGCTTTGTAATGTTTTGAACAACCAATTAAAAAAAAAAAGAATGTTTGTGCCTGCTGGGCATCTGCTGAGGCCGACTTTGGGCCTGGAAGCGTCCCACACCCTGATATCTTAGAGGCTTCAAACGCCCCATTTTGCTGCCACTCAAAGGAGGCGATTTGATCCTGTCTTGAAGGTGCCTAAACAGCGGCTGCCACTGTAAAAACCCGGTCTGGAGAGCTCAAGTGCGCTTTCCGGTAAAATCTGGGAAATTTGGTTTGAGCAAAGTTTCCGTTCTTGTTACTCGTCGGGTTTCTCCCACTTCCACTTAGCCATGTTTCTGCGATCTAGGTAATCCCCTTCAAGCCGGGGAGGAATTCTCCCGAGTCCATAATTGAGGGTTGGAAATCGTGGGGGTGAGAGAAGCGTAAAATCCTCCCGAAGCCTGGGAAGTGCTAGAGTGCGCTTGGGAGGGAGGCCTGCAAGAAGCTGTGGCGGGACCGGTCCGCAGTCCCGGCTCTTGGAGCCCCTTCTCTGCGAGGCCCCAGGCAGTCAACAGCGCCGCGCGGCGCGGGATTCTGGTCACGGAAGTGGGCCGCGGACGCCTGTTTTGGGCACCTGCGGACCAGCGCCGCTGACGCGCGGCCCCAACTCTCCACTCGCACCGCTGAAAACTGGACAGCGTGCCTAGATCCGAAACACCAAAGGAAAGTGCGGGCTCCACTGCGCTGCTGGCTCGTGCAGCTTCGCGGTTTCCCAGCACCATTCCTAAGACTATTGGCCACAGTGGGTTTAGCAGGACTGGGCAGGCTGATGCCCAGACCAGGTTTATACTATGAAGCCCAGGGAGGGAACCCACATCTCCTCCAACGCCTCCAAACTTCGGACCTTCAAAGGGGTCCGGGAAAAGGTCAGAGCGTCTACTGCAGGCACGGCAGCCGGAAGCTGGAGAGGAACGTGAGAGCAGCAGACTCCTCCCGGCCGGAGGTAGAGCAGCGGCACCCACCTATCCCCCATCCCCGTCCACCTCCTAACCGGTGCCCATCTCGAGGTCGGGGGCCTCACGGCCCCATAATTCTACAGCTTTTAGCACTGTGCCAAGAGCTCCCTCAGGGCTCAGACACCCAGTAAGAACTGCCCTCTGGCCTGTCCCTGACCCGGTGAAGCACGGAAGCTGGCAACGGAACCGTCCTGGGGCGTTCAGACTCCAGGAAGGAGGGGGGATTTCGGAGATGGCAGTGGCGGGGCTGTGCGGCGGGCCCAGGACTAGTGCTTATCTCTGACTGCAGGAGCACGAAGGAGCGAACCGAGTTGGGGAGGAGAGGCGGGATGTGACTATAAGGTCTAGTGTGGCCCTGCGGGAGAGCGTGTGTTCCCAGTGCCCGCGTCTTCAACAGCGCCTCCCTTCTCCAACTGCCTTCTGCCGACCACCACGGGTCCCACCAACGTCTCCCAGTGGCCCTAGCTCGGTGACACTCTCCATGAAACCTCCGCCCAAAAGCGATTCCCCGAAATTTAGGCTGCGTTGGATCAGGCTGCGAGACGGCTCTGGGCTGCTGGAGGCAGGGCAGCTGGGCCCCGTTCCCGCCGGCGCCCCGGAGAGGCCTCGCAGCTGGGCTGGGCTCCCCGACCCTTCCCTCCCTCTAGCTCGCGCGCCCCGGAGGTCTCCCGCTCCTATCAGAAAAGTGTCAATCTCCTTTCGCTCCGGAGTTTCCAGGAGAGAAAGGGCAGAAGAGTGACTTCGGAGCGTGTAGGGAGGGGAATCTTCCCTCTGGGCACCCCTTTCCGCACGCGGAACTGAGGAGGAGGGCGTGGGACCAGCGCGGACTTGGAGGCCTCGATCCTCCCCACAGGGCACTTGGCCGCCGGGTCGCGCCGCCTCCTCTTGGCCGCGCCCGCCGGTGACCAGCCGGGCAACCACAGAAGAGGCCTCGGCACCCCTCCCTCGTTACTCCTTCGCCCCACCCCGCAGCCCATCCTAACGCCCACGTCCCGCGACTCCCTCTCCAGAGCGGGTCTCCGCGCCGCGCAGCGTTCACTCACCGCGATCTCCCCGAGCCCGGGAGCGCGCCCGTCTTTCTCGGGACAGTCCCTGGAGGTAGAGACGCGGAGGCGCGCCCGTGACTCCAGGGCCGCGGCGGGGTCGGAGGCGAGAATCGCCGCCCCCGCCCCCGCCGCGGTCCCTCCCCCTGCCCCCCCCCCCGTCCCGGGCCCTGGCGGCCCAGTGCTCCGCCCGAAGGCGGGTCCGCCATAAACAAACGGTGCTCGGTCGCACGTGGACTGCGGAGCAGCTGCGCCTCCCAACAGATCGCGGACTCCGGAGCGGGGTCTTCAGGCACAGGGAGCAACCAGAGAGGGCAGGAGAGCGCGCCCAGGCCTGGGTCCGGCCCAGCCGTCTCGGTCTAGCTCCCCTCGGCTCGGGTCCGCTCCATGGCTCCGCAGCCACCGCCGCCCCTGCCGCCCTCCAGATCGGAGGGGCCTCGCGGCAGCGAGTGCCAACACCCAGTTAAGGACTAAACTGCACCACCGCCTCTTCGCTGGACCCTTATACCCTAAGAAAAGCTGAGGCCGGGGAGACAGGAGGCAAGAAGAGTGAACAGGAAGCAGGGCTCGGGTCGCCGCGGAACAGTCCAGCTCTAGCCGCAGGCGGAGCGCGGGGCGGCGCAGCTGGTTTGCGCTGAGCTCTGGGCTGGCAACTGCGGAGAAGTTCCTCGGTGCCCAGGCCGGTCCGGCGCACCTGTCCGTGGCCGGCACCCGGGATTCACCTGGCCCCCGGGTCCCCTTTCCCGGTCCCAGCTGCCGCAGCCTGAGCGGGACTCCGCGGGCCTGGAGCGCGGCCAGGTCTAATATGCCCAGAGCCGAGGCGCGATGAAGGAGAAGTCCAAGAATGCGGCCAAAACCAGGAGGGAGAAGGAAAATGGCGAGTTTTATGAGCTGGCCAAGCTGCTCCCGCTGCCATCGGCCATCACTTCGCAGCTGGACAAAGCGTCCATCATACGACTCACCACGAGCTACCTGAAGATGCGCGCGGTCTTCCCTGAAGGTGAGGCCGCAGGTGGGCGGCCGGGAACTCTGGGGAGTTAGGCAGCCTCGGCCCTTGCAGGAGCCGGCCCAGATGGGCCATCGAGGTCTCCCAGCCAATACTCGGGTGTCTTGGGAGGGCCGAGCCAGCCGGGGACTTCAGCTGGGACGCAGACTCAGGGAGAGGGGCCAGGGCCACCACGGCCCAGGCGACCAAACCATCTCTTGGCTCAGGGGAGCGGCAAACCAAGGATTGTCCCCGGGACCGGCGGTCCCCAGTTGGCGTTGGCATACTGGTCCATTCAGGTTTTACTCTCTCTCTCTTCCTTCTTCCCCCTCTGCTCCTCCTTTCCTTCCTCCCGCCTATCCTTTCTTTTCTTTCTTCTTTGTGAATCTATTTTACTTTTGTTTTCTTTTCCTCTCTTCTTTCTCCTCCTCCTTTCCATTTTTAAAAAAAAATTCTTCTTCGTCTTCTTTTTCTTCCGTCTCTTTCCTCTCCTTCTCTTTCTCCTTCTTCTCCTCTTCCTCCTCCTCCTCCTTCCCTTTCTCTTTCTCTCCCCCCACCTCCTTCTGCTCTGGTTTGGTGTGTTTTGTTTTCTTATTTTTTTTCTCTGTTCCTTTACTCCTTTCCTTCTTATTTACCTACCTCTTTTCCCTCCTTCCTTTCTTCTTTCTTTCTTCAGCTCCCGTTTCTTTTCCGGGCCTTCATCCCTCCTTCTCTTTCTGGAGAAAAGAGAGCAAGCAAGCAGGGTGCTCGGTGAGGCCACAGCCACCGAGGACTCGTGGAGTCAGGTCCTCGGTCTCTCGTGCTGCCCTCCCAGTCCTCTGGGGTTCGGAGGTTCGGGTAGGAGAGATCGCGGGTTGGTGAGCTGAAACACCCGCGAAGAGAAAGGTAATTATTTCGAAAATGGCAGGCAGGGCAGAGCTTAGCAGTTCTTTTAGGATTGAAAATACACTACTGGCGGACGAGGACACACCGTCAGGCAGAGATCGTAAGAAATGGTGGCGTGCTGGATGGGCTTTCCCAGCACGCACACGTCGGCCTCCGCCTGGGACTGTGGCCACCCGGCCAGACCTCCAAACAGCAGGTCCGGGATCTCACCCCCAAGGGACTCGGACACTGCCGGGAAAGGCACTGTTCAGGGTTCTGATGGGCGCCCCAGGATTTCCAGGCCCTGGAGCCACACGAGAGGACTTCCTAGTAAAGAGACCACTTCAGCTGCAGGGCACTGGAGGGTCGCTGCAGTACAGGCGACAGGTGTCCTTCGGCCACAGGGCGCCTCCATTAATATCATCCGCGGCCCGGAACTCGACTCGGTAAGCTTTTGCGCTCGGCGCCTCCAAACGTGTTATTTGCGGTCGTTTCTGGGTCTGCAGCTGCGTTTTCCACGGTCTTCCTCGTGGAGCGCAGCGGGCCTTGTCGGCAATTGCGGCCTGCAGTCCTGCGGCGGCCCGGGTCTGGAGCAAGCGCCGGAGCAGCCCGGAGCCCTAGGGAGCTGAGCGGCCGGAAGCGGTGGCTGGGCCTCTCGGGAGCCTCCCAGCCTGGCCGCGCGGTCCGCGGTCGAAGGGCGCTTTCCTCCGGTGCGCGGAAGCCCTGAACCTGCTGGGCTGGGGCCTAGCGCAAGTTCCTGCGTTTCCTAGTCCGATCCGCGGAGAACCTCTCCCCAGCCCCTTCCTTCGCTGGGAGTTGTTCACCGCGGTGTTTCCTACTAGTCGGCCCAGCGATGAGTCCTTGGCTACAGAAGTAGAAATGATTCCTTTCCAGCTGAAGTTTCGGTGGACATTAAAAGCGAATTAGGTTTATAAGGGTCGAGTCTCCTTTCCACCCGGGGAGTAGTGTTAGCTGGTTTGCTGGGATGCGTCTAATCCGCTTGCTACAAAGCAGGCAGGGTAATGGGCTTCTATCCTCTGTCCTCTCTCTTCCCACCTTTCTTTTGGGGCGGGGGAGAATAAATTATCTGAAGAGTTGTTTGTTGCCAAAGATTTCTAATAAACCAGAAGTTAACTAATAGGAGCGATCTGGGGAAAAGGGCTTATTTTAAGCTATTCGTTGTTTTAGGGATTTCCAGGGAAGTTTGCTAAAATGTTGAAAAGTGGCAGATGTGCTGCCACAGCAGACATTTAAATATCTGTGGGGTGTATGTAACCAGGGAAGCACATCATCAGGCCTTTGGGTCCAGAATGACTGAAGACTTTGCTCCTTGTTGTGGGACCGCGTGGTGTTGTTGGGGTTGATGCCTTGAGCAACTGCTGCCAGTGCTGTGTTCAGGAGCTGCCTACTCAAGGGGCCACCTGCATCTCCTGGGTTTTGATCCTGGAGGTTGGCTCTAGATTTTGTAAATGATCCTGAATCATAGCGTACAACTCGGGGAAGGGGGCAGTGGCCTAATCCCTTCCTACTACACTTCTTGAAGTCAGGAAGGGGAGCCATGCCGTCTCAAGCACTGTCCCACTGCTCATGTCTGGGACCTGAAGCTTTGGGCTGCAACGCCTACTCCCCTCAAGTCCAGTCCGGGTCTAAGGAGTTGGGAAGCTCAGGGCATAGGGCAAAGAGAAGTTGCGATTAGGAAGAACTCCACCATCAAAATAACTCCCTTGCCCTCAGAGGCTTTGAATCCGCTCCCACCCCCCACCCCCCCACCCCTGCAGGGGACCTTCATTGATTTAACCCTGGTTCTTGAAGCACCCAGGTTGCTGGGGCCCTGCTGAGTTGCTGGGGTCAGGACAATGACCCCACGGAGGTCTTAGAGCCAGAGCAAGTCTGGGTATCAACCAGAGCTCTGAGATGGCTTACAGCTCTTGGCTGAAAATAAAAGATATAGAGTGGACCCATTTGCCTGAAGCAGGTGGGATCCCTGGGTAAAGAAAACTTTTGAGACCATTTTCTGCATCTGGGATGCAGAAAATGAATGGCACAGTCTTAAGGACCGGTGGGATCATCAGGAACCCTTCATATCTGGGGAAATTGAGGCCAGAGAGGAAACTGGCCTCCCCAAAGGCGCTGCAGCAGGGGAGGAGTAGGACAGTAACTGCGGAGGCAGCCGGTTGCTGTATATCCTCCTGCCTCTGCACTGAAGAGGCCACCAGGAAGAGAAACTCAGAGGTCCCACACCAGGGCAGAGGGAGGCACCAGAAACCAAGGCAGACACCTGCTGGCAGGCCAATTCTCAGACTTGGGGAAATCTTTCAATTTTTACATTTGGGACGGAGGAGGCTCTGTCATCCTGCCCTGGTAGGCCTCGGTCTCTTTGTAAAGCGGCCCATTACCGACTCCACACCCATACAGGTGCACAGTGGAACCTTGTCATAGGTGGCAGTCTACTCTGGTTACCAGTCGCTGTAGACTCCGGGTGTTTCCTGGACCAGGCTAGGCTTAAATGGCAGTCACCGAGGAAATCACTGCCCTGAGTCTAAATATCTGCGGCTTTCTGGGTGGCTACCTTTTCTCCCCTTCAACATAGAACTAAGAAGTGGGAGGTAGATAGGGTGGGTGAGGGCAGGAGAGAGCAAGGTCGGCTTTGGAATGCGGGCTGGAAATTGAACACTGGATGAGTTTTAGCGAGTAGTTGGAAAGCAGATAAACCTAGGGTTGCGGCAGAGATGGAGTGCAAAGGGTCGCCTGCGCCCCTCCCTGGGTTCCGGAAAGGAGGCTTCTTGGAAACCGCAGATGTACCGAGGCAAGAGACCTGTGGGTGCTTCCTGGCCGTAACTGCACTGTGAACACACTCGCCAGGACGCAGGGTAGTTTCCTTGGGTCCGAGGGCCAACTTGGGTGATTCCCTCGAGGAGTCCCGATTAGGACAAGCGATGAGGAAAGGGTGGCGTTTCCTGCCGGACCTTGCACACCGACGGCTAGCTAGGACGAGGGACTGGCCTCTGGTCCCGGCTCAGGAATGAAGTGGGAAGCTGAAGACCCAGAACCAGGGTGTGTGGAGGGGGGAAGGGATTAAGGCCTGAATTGTCCCGGTGACTGGGTTGAATTCAGTTGCAGGCAGCCGGCTAACCCCCCACCCGCACACCTGAGCTCCGCGGGGAGGAAGCGCACGGACTGTGGAATAATTTTCTTGGATTTAAACGATTTGATTCCGAGGGTTTGGTGAGGAAAAAGTCACCCTATGCCAACATGGCATTATAGATCTTCCTGTACCGCAGCCCGAAATCACGTAGGTTATTTTTAATGGACTCGTTTTTTGGAGTGACGAAGATTTCACAACCCTCCCTCCTCTCACTTTGAAGTGGGCCAGGCCTAGGGCTCGGGAGGCAAAGCTCACCGTCGGCAGGGCCGCGCGCGGCACAGGCCCTGGAGCGAGTAACCGGAGCGCGCGGGCTGCAGATCCAGCCCCTGCGCTCCAGAGCCCCGGACCCCGACCCCGACCCTGGAGCTCCGCGGCGCGGAAAGGAAGCCTCGCCGGGGAGCGTCGGGCGGCTCTGGGTGCGGCGCGCGGCTCGGTACCCGCGGCCGCTGGGACTCCATCTCGCACTTTCAGGACCTACGTATTCCGTCCTGGGGCCGCGGGGTCTTCAGGGCACGCGCAACGCTCGTTCGCAGCTGGCCCGCCAGGCTGGAAGCCGTCTCCCCTCCTTTCCCCCGTCGGCCGCAAGGAGACTTTCTTGGGGAGCGTCTCTACCTACCACCCCCTTCACACCTGATCCCTGGTTGATGTGAACAGGGGTCGCTCGACGGCGAATTTTCCAGGGACCCCAAAGAGAACAGAAAGATTCCAGGACTGAGAAGAACTCCTGTGCGCTGGAGAAGTCCGCGACCCCTGAGAATGTACACGGATCGTGGTGTCCAGAGAGGTGCAAACTATGGGTTCTACTGGATCAGCAAGGCGGTACCCAGCCCCAAACTCCTCCCAGCACAAACTCACGAGACCCGTTAGCCCTGGAAGAGAGCTACCAGAGCCCGCCGCTGCGCAGGGACTGCGGTTGGAAACGCCGTGGGGTGACCGGCTGAGACTCGGCCTCCGCAGCCTGTGCTTGGGTGGAGGAGCAAGAGGATCAAGCCGTTTCTTACTCCCGCCCCCACACACCCTACTAGACTTTGGAGTGGTTTGCTATGAGTATGTGTGACCTTGCATCCTCAGATCTGGCCCTCCAAGGGCAAGAGGTCGCACTCCCCCAGAGACACACCCTCCCCCCCTCCCCCAGGGGGGTGATAATTGGAGGAGGGGAGGCTGGAGGCAGCGAAGGAGTGGGCTAGACAAAGGCCATGGCAGTAGCCACAAACAGCGAGGCCTCACTTTAGCCGGGCTCAGTGAATCCCCAAACAATCCTATTTTAGAGGCAAGAAATAAAGGTTAGAGGTCGGGGCTTTGACTGGAGATCAGGCCCTGCGGCCTGGCCAAGTTGCCTTCTAAACCACAGAAGGCGAGTCCCAGGAGGTGAGACACGGGGACTTCCTCAACTGTCCTAGATTTTTATACCCTTATCCAATGTTCCTGTGGAGGTTGGAGGCAGGGACAGCCGCCTCCCTGTTCTTAGCCCCATTCAATTTTCACAGGAGTCCTGGGGAAGTCTTTCTGTCCCGTAGGGAGGTGAGAGAATGGTGGTCTGACTCTAGTGTTCTTACCTAAGTCCAGGCCCTAGCTCTCGGCATCCAGACCCACAGGCATCCTTCTGGCTAGTCCAGAGGAAGGACAGAAACCTGGATGTCCTCTCATCTGAGCAAAGCAGATGAAAACCTCACAGCGGGAAAGCAATCTCCCTTTCTCTCCAAATCATATTCTTTTTGCAGCCCCATGTTTATGGTCTGTGACCTGCATCCAGAGATACCCCCAGAGCCTGACTGAAGCCCCACAGGACAGTTGCTCATGAGCTGTTTGCTGACTAATCAGAGAACAGGAACCATATTTAGGTGGCTTCTGCAGACAGCAAGTCTGTGGGGGTTAAACCAGAGGACAGGCAGCATGTGAAAACAGACCCTGTACCCGTAAACCCTGGGAGCAAGCAGGAAAGGAGGTACCTAAAGGCTAACTGGCAGAAGTGGGGCATGTGGGCTTGATTCCCTTTTGCCCTGACCTAGCAGCCCCAGTTTCTCCCTGGCCATCCTTAAATGCCAGTGGCCAGAGGTCCCCAGCTTGTCCTGTGGAGGCAGGCAGGATCCGGGAAATCCAACCTGGGGCCTGAGAAACAACAGGTCTCAACTCTGAAAGCAGTCAATACCACCAACAGCTCACCAACTTCTAACCCTGAAGGAGCTTAGCCCAGACTTCAACTCTACCCCACCCCCACTTTTCAAATAAATAAACCAATCCCTTTCCTGGGTCCAGGTAAGGGCCACATGCCTAAAGCTTCACTTTTTCAGGAGTGTATATGGCTTTCTATTACCAAGAGGATGCTTTTCATTACAAACCTTACTTTATTCAGTCTCTGCTTCAGCCCAAAGTATATTTTTATGGGCTGAGGGGAAAAAAGAACTCACCACAGGAGTTCCTAATGGAAGAGCTGGCAGAGCCTTAGGGTGAGGTGGTCCCTAGGTAGGGAGTGCTTGGGGGAACCATTTGGTGATGCCTAGCTACCTCCAGCCAGGATCCTGAAGGGCAGTCGAAATCTCCATCAGCACAATAGAGGCATGGGAACTTTCTGAAAAATTATAGTGATATAGGAGAATAAGATCTCTCAGATATTTGAATATTTGAATAATGTGAAAAATCTATAACTAGTTAGCACACTGCTTCATGGAGAGCCAGAGCCTTCAGCAGGCTTTGAAACATTTGTGCCAGTGGAGCCAGGTCTGGAGGCCATTCCCACAGACCAAAAGTTTAGTCCAGGTCTTTGGACCACTGACCCTGCAAGAAGCTAAAGGCCAGGAGGCCCTGCTCACCTTGGGCACTGTGTTGGGGCCAAGGCTGCTTCAGCTCCAGGGACCTGGAAGAACTCTGAGTCAGGGGAGAGGAGGACAGTAACAAGGCACATTTGTTCGTTTTTGGAAATCGGATTTCCTAGGTTCTTATTAAATTCTTTCTTCATCCACGTCCCACTGGTTTTAAATCTTGGTTCTTTCTATTGCCCCTACCATGCTTCCTGCCTGGTGTGGGGCAGGAAAAGCCTGAGAGTGAGGGCAAGTGGTGCCCTGGTAGGATCAGGATGCTTGGGGGTGGGAGCAGTCTCCTGGAGTTAGAGAGCTACCTACCCTCACCCAGTGGTGGCTTAGGGGCCAAGAATTAAAAAGCTGCCAGCGTGTTTTATTGGGGGGGGGGGATGTCAGGATAAGTGGAAGTTGACCACTTCCTTATTAGACTGGGATGAACTCTGATTCTTAGAGTCCAGGAGGAGAAATGAAAGGTCACCCCTTTTCTAGTTGCCAAGAAACTGTTTCCAAGAAGGATCTACAAAGCCACAGTCCTGGGCCTTGAGCTGCGTTTTCAGCCTCCTGGGTGGAGGCCTCTAGAAGCCACGATGCCCCGGACTCCCACAGAGTCAGAGAGGAGACCCACGGTGCCAGCGCAGCGACTCTCCGGGAATTCATGCCAGGCTCCCGGTTTAGAGAGGACTTGCCGCCTAGGGAACCACACTGGATTCACTGCAGCTGACCAGGTTTTCAGCCCAGCGCTTCCCGCCTAGTTCAGCTGACTCCTGACCTAGAGTCCCGCACTCAAGGGCGCGATCTGGGTCCGGCCCACGGTTTCCGGGAGGACGTGTAAACCCTGAAGGGGTCGGAGCCGAAATGGGAGCTCCCGGAGTAGGGAGAAAGCCCGAGGGCGTATTCTCTAAGAGGAAGGTTAAGGAGGCTAGGGCGCAAGTGGAGATGGCGGTCACTGGCCTCTGTCTCCTGATGCGGAGGCCCAGGTGCTAACCGGAGGGTCCCCAGGCAAGGCCCCTAACGGAAGGATTCTGGGGAAATTTAAAGGTTCTTCTATCCCTCCTTGCGCCGCCTCCTCAGGAGCTTTCTGGCTTCGTCTGGAGTTGGTAGAGGCAAGCCTGGAGTCTCCCAGTCACAGCGGCTGGCCCGAGCGCGCAGGGAAAGAGGATGCGCAGGGCCCCCATTCCCCTGACGCATTTTCTGCACCACTGGTGGCCGTCGGGGTGGTGGTGGGGAAGAGCAGGAGGTTCTGGGGATGAGGCGGTTAAAAAGCACAGGGACTGAGGGGCTCTGGATTGTGCGAGAACCGCCCCTCTCTCCTTTACCTTCGAGCCTACCCTGGGCTCTCCCGGCTCTGGGCCCACCCCGCGCCCGCCGCTGGCGGATATGGAGCGTGTTCTCCGGAAACCCCCAGGTAAACCTTCCTGGGCACGAAGCTCTGAGTTTGGAAGGGGACAGCTCTTCCGGGAAGCCAGTGAGAGCCTAGAAGACTATGGGATAACGTGGAGGAGAGGGACATTTTCTTTTCTTTTCTTTTCTTTTAATATGGGAAAAGCTGCCCCTGGACGGCGGGGCCTTTCCATCTGAGGCTCTCTGTCTTTGGGAAAAAGCAGAATTGCGGGCGTCACCTGGGAAGGGAGGAAGAGAAGGTCCTTAGGGGAATATTTACAGGTCAAATCGATATCCCTGTTCAGCTACGAGGATGGCCAATTTCAAAGCAGATTAGATTACTTTGTGGCATTTCAAATAAAACGGCAATTTCAGAGCCTTGAGCACGTGGGCGACCCGCGGGAGCGGTCCGCCCGCTTGGCTCAGTGAGCGCAGGGGCACTCCGCGGGAGACCTCGAAGGGAATTCCTCCTCTGGTCTTTTTCTTTTAAACCGAGGGCAAAGGGGCGACTGCGAGGGCACAGGCTGCGGCATGCTCCAGCCTCGAGGAGCAAGGGAGCGCAGGCTCTGAGCGCTCTGCGTGGCGCCACCGCCTCTAGCTGAACGCGGCCGTTTACTGGTTGTTTCATTTCCTTGTCCAGGTTTAGGAGATGCATGGGGACAGCCGAGTCGCACCGGGCCCCTGGACAGTGTCGCCAAGGAGCTGGGATCGCACTTGCTGCAGGTAGAACCACCGCGCCGGGGGAGGAGCGCCGCCGCCGCCAATCGCCCTGGCAGATGCCCGGGCGGGGGCTCCCTTCCGACCCTGCCACCCGAGTCTCGAGGTGCGCGGCACAAATCCACAGGCCGCCCCCAAGCTGAAGAAGTCCCAGGGGCGGGGGTGGCTCCCGCCCGGGAGGGTCAAAACCCAAGCGTGGATGCTTAGCCTGTCGGGTGCAGCCTCAGCCCCAGCCCCACCCTGCATCCCTCTCCCTCCCAGCGCCCCAGAGTTTCTAGCTCACCCAGACCTAGGCCGAAAGGCGCCCCTGAACGTGATTAAATCCTTTCAACCTTACTTCGGTTTGTACCAGACACCGGGCCAGGCTCTAGAGCCAGAGAAGCACCGATCAGGAAGCATTGAGCCACAATGTGGCAGGGTTTAACAAGTGTGAGTGTGTGTATGTGTGTGTGTGTGTGTGTGTGTGTGTGCGCGCGCGCGCGCGCGCAGGAATGCGTAAATGAAACGACAGCATCAATAATGAAGCAGCAACAGTTGGCACTTATGCAGAGTTTATTACAGACCAGGTTTCTTTTCAAAAGGTTACTTTAGCATCTGGTATCACCACCCATCTTGGTCGCTGGGTTTGGGGTCAGGCGTTTTGCGCTTCCAGTCCCCGGCCTTTTGGTCCCAGACTGCTACACTGCCAGGACCTCAGCTTTCTATCCCTGCAGTATAGAAGCGCTGATAGGCACCCCGGTATTGAATTTGGGATGGGAAACCTGGGCACCAGGGTCCACTTCCAAGTCAGCATCTGGCGCTAGCAGAGGACAGCAATGTCCTTTACAGAGCCTCATCAAGGACCTGATTCATTCACCAACACCCCCGCCCCCCCCCCCAGAAGAATGCTTACCCAGACCTATTTTGCATTTCCTCTATTTTGTGTTTCCATTAAAAGGGGAGGGGGGAGGGTAGGATGTTGGCTGCAGGGCATTGTGACTTAGATCTGCGAGTGGGTCACTGAGGTCTGCATTTTGAAAAACCAGATCTTTTCAAAACTTTTGCCCCAAATGCCTGGGAATGATTTGTTTTTGAAAATACATGTGTTAGGGAGAAGGGAATGGGGGAATATTTGAAACCCGGAACTTTCACAACTAGAGAGAACTGCGGTGGCATAGCAGCCGGCGAGGTAACGCTCTCTGGGAGCCTGGCCCACACGCCCTCGGCTCGCCGGCTGCCCTCCCTTCCAGCTTTGCGCTGGATGTTTTCCGTGTTTCATACTGTCCACATCATAAGTGACACTAATATCAGGGACAACTAAGTGCTTGCAGGGGAACTTCAGAGAAAGTCTGGTGGGCAAAGTCAACACTTCCAGAGGTCTTACATTTAATTAATTCCTGAGTGGTGTGTGGATGGTCGTCTTTGCAGTTATTATACATGTAAGTGAATTAGGTAATTGAAGCTAGGAAAGCACACTCCATGTTTTCCATTAAGAATATTATTTTTTAAGCTACTGCTGGCAACGTTTAGAATTTAATTATGATAATTTCTTCACTTTTATTTGTTTTCCTAGATGTTGCAAGAGATCTGTTTTGTTAAATGTGTCTCTAATGGTTTTAGAGTTTAGCAACTATGCAAAATACACCAAAGTGTCTGTAACTTTAGAAATTGCTTTATAGTTTATATTTCTGAAATGTCCCAGATTCTGTTAGGAAAATGTGTTGTAGCTGAGTTAGAAACCTGAAAGTAAGACATAATCAAGTTGCTGGTCTCAACCTAGCACAGGGAAAGGTAGTGATAATTTAGTTAGCAAAGAATTTTTGCAGCAAATGGTATTTGAGACAGCAGAATGTAAGGATATCTTTCAAGTTTCATTTCTGCTACGTTCTTTATAGCCCACCTCCAAGAGGGGGGGGGTTGAAAACCCAAAGGTAATCTGGTTTCAATTACATGCTGTAAAAATAGAATTTGTGGCCAGAAATTAATCTGGAATATTTTTTTATGGGAGTTGCACTGCGGATTGTATGGGTCTTTCACAAACTTTATTGCTTTTCTTTGGTTCTGGATCTAAAATATGAATGAGTAAATAAAGTACAGTTTCCTTTTTCAAAAATTTAGTCTTTGACACAGAAAAATAATCATTACCTTTTTATTTGTCTTAATTATCTCTTATAGTTTTACCTTATTTTTAGAGGGCTTAGGTAAAAATCAGAATTTCATTTGGTTAGTTTTAATTTTTCAGAAGATACTTTTTCTCCTTGAATTTGGCAAAAGTTATTCAATCTCTTACAAGTTGAAATAGTTAATTCTATAGACTTTGTCTGGTAAAATAATCAGGTATTTTGTTTTATTTTCTGGGGAGCGGCAGTGGTCGGAATTTATTATTCAAATGGTACTTATGGGTAACTAGAATATTGTGGCAAATAAAGAGTATGTCCTAGTGGTATAAATGACTGCCAATTATGACTTAAATGGTCTATATAGTAGTGGATGTTCCCCTAAGTACCATAGAACTCCGGATTTGTGCTAAGTGCTAAAATAACTCCAAACAATAAAGCTACTACATTTAAACTGAGCATGATAGGAATTCTCAAATGTTTCACATGATTTTTGTGATGTGGATGTAAGATTGTTTTTAAAGTGCTTTAAAAGCATTTCAGAGCCTGGCTTGGGAAATAAACCTTGAGTGTTGTCACCTGTGGTCCTCATGGCCCTGGCTTCATTTTTGAATTTAACAAATATGCGTTGATTTTTTTTCCCCCAGTGCTGGGCTCATGGATGCTGGCGAACACTTCACCACTGAGCTTTTTACCTTCCTCCCACTTCACCTCCAGCCCAGTGACAGCAAAATTTCTAGATTTAATGCTGGTGTAGAACTAACATCTCTTACCCTGATACGTTTTCTTTTTCAGACTTTGGATGGATTTGTTTTTGTGGTAGCATCTGATGGCAAAATCATGTATATATCCGAGACGGCTTCTGTTCATTTAGGTTTGTCCCAGGTAGGTATGGCCTAATTTTATGTACAATCAAAATATTCGATTAAATGGTAGCAGATTGTGAGAGCTTTGCCTAGCCTGAAAATGAGTCTGCATTTGTGTATGAACATTATTCATAACTGCAAAATACCCCCACCCCCACCCAGTGCTGGGGATTGAACAAGCTCTACCACTGAGCTCTATCCCCAGCCCCCAATTTCTCTTAATAGAATGCCCATGCAGTTTTCTTTTTCTTCTTCTTCTTCTTCTTCTTCTTCTTCTTTTTTTTTTTTTTTTTTTTTTTTGCATTTTTACCTTTTTCCTTTGGGGCTTGTGACCAGTGTGTCTTCACTGTGGCCAGCCCTGTTCTGAGTCTGTCCTATGCCCTGCCCTATCTGCTCACCTAGTGATGTTAGATGGCACAGGAAAGAGCTTCCCCAGGGGACCTTGAGTCAGTCCACACATGCTGGGCTGCACATGGTATTGTGCGTTGCTGTGAGGTGAGAGGAAGCTGCTGTAGAACATGGATTTTATTCGGCATGTGCTTTGGGGAGACAGAAAGGGAAGGGGTAGATTTATGAGTGTTCACATGGAATTCAAGGTCATTTTTCCTGAGTTTTTCCAGTTCAGTGGTTGTTTCAGTAAAGCATTTTATATGCTTGTGATAGAAACTCATAAAATTCAGTTTACTACTGTTTTGCACTGCAAGGTCCTGGTTTCTTTAGAACATTTAAATATTACCCATTTTTCTGGAAAAGTGAAACCATCTTCTGAAAAGGGGGTTCCTCCCTTAGAAGGAAGAGATGACCTCAGCTTGTGGACCCCCAGCCAGATGAGGGTTGGGTGGAGGGTCCGGCTGCTGTCTGGGCCTGTGGATGGCCCCAATAGGGAGAAGCTGACTGGGTTTCCCTTTCACATCTCTGATTTAACAAGCGTGGAACAGAGAGATAAAAGTCACATTTTTTTATACATGCCAGGACTAAACGTTCCTTTATATTGTGAGCTCTCAGCGTGACTTTTCATCACAAGTGAGGACATACTACAATGAATGACAGAGACAGAACAAGGGCTCCAGAAAGGCGTGTCAGTGACCTGTTCTGTCCACCCTCCTCCACAGTTAAGCCCAAATGGAACATGCCTATTAATGTTACTTGAGTTTTTCTCATTGAAAAACAAAATTACCAAATTTGGGAACCTGAGTTTGGTGTATTCCTTTTCTTTTTCTGCCAGTACATTAAAAAAACAACAACAACAAAAAAAAAAAAAACTTGTCATTGTTTTACAGCCATCTCTTCCAATGTATGCACATCCTTCTCCACATCCAAGTGGGCTTATGTGTTTCCTATGCAAAGTCTGTTAAAGGAAATTGCATATTAAAATTGTTTAGAAGGTTGTTTCTTACTCTCTCTTCTCTTATGGGGCCTGCTATCCCAAATAGTTTATCAAATCTTGACTCTTTTTTTAAATGTTTATTTTTTAGTTATAGGTGAACACAATATTTTTATTTTACTTTTACGTGGTGCTGAGGATTGAACCCAGCGCCTCACATATACTAGGTGAGCACTCTGCCTCTGAGCCACAACCCCAACCTCCAAAGCTTGACTCTTGCATCTATGTGAACCGTGGGATAAATATGTGTACAGACTGAGAAATGTTTTGAGAAGATTAAATTTACTATTTCTATGGGACTGGAGGTTGTAGCAGTTTAGTGGTAGAGAATGTGCTTAGCTGAATAAGTCCCTGCCCACCCCTCACCCCCAACCCCCCACAAATAAATGGAAAGGAAAGAAAAAAGAAATTTATTACTTTACATTTTTAGAATTAATCAGAACCATTTACTTGCACCTAGACTGGTTTCTACTTCTGACCTAATCTATGGATTATTTACCTTTTAAAATTATAATTTACTTTTGATAGTCTTATTGTCACAAATAAGATAAAACATTTCACATATTTCACATACTTTTAAGACGATTTGTCAAAAAAATTTTGATCAGGGGCTCACACTGGCATTAAAGTGTTTTTGTAGCTGTAGACGGAGGCTAACACAACCTCACCGAGGAATCAGAAAAAAACCAGTTGCCCTGCATGATCAACTTGACTTATCTTTTTTACAATTGTCTTCTCTACAGGGAACAAAGAAGCTAAAGGAATCTATAACTTTCTTAGAAAATGGTAGTACTGGCCCTTCCCCCCTTTTAAAACAACGATACAAAGTTGTATTTCTGCGTATGATCACAGAAATCAATTTGACCACTATTTTTCAGTATTAAATTGATATCTGAGATCCCTAGCAGTCAAAACAAAATGGGAAATAAATTCAACTATCCAGGAACTTAATGTCCTGGGGTTATATTTTAAATAATATGGTAGTGCCTGCTCTGTCTGTCTTTCAGATCATGCTGGGAAACAGATCAGAATAACTATTTTGTGTGATTTGTAAATTATAGGGAGCTATACAAAAGCCAGACAGCCTCACTTTCATTAAATATAGTTTGCAACTACAGTCCTCTTAGGGTTGCTCGGTCACTTGGAATATGTGGGCACATCATTAGGTACTGAGCACAACTTAAGCAATCTGTCACTCAGGCAGCTCAGCCTACCAGCCTACCCTGCACCCCACACAGACTCTTTTTATGTGGGAAAAAGATTCTGTTGATTATGAACACAATAATTAAGAATGACCAACACATTGGAAAGGTAATGACTAAGCCTTCTGTCAAGATTAACTCCACATGAGGAAATGGAGGTAGCATAAAAGTATGATGTTTCCTTTTCATCATATGCAAAAAACACAACTTTGTATCGTTGTTTTAAAAGGGAAGAAAGTCCAGGTATGACCATTTTCTAAGCAAGTTGTAGAGATTCCTTTAGTTTCTTTGTTGCCTGTGAAAGGACAATTGTAAAAAAGATAAATCAAGCTGATCATGTAGGGCAACTGTTTTTTTTTTTTTTTTTCTGATTCCTCGATGAGGGTGTTAGCCTCCGTCTGCAGCTACAAAAACACTTTAATGCCAGTGTGAGCTCCTGGTCAGTGGCTGGGGAGTGTTCCACGGTGAACTGTTTAAATAAGCAACAACAAACTTTTCTCTTAGATCTGCCTTCTGTTCATGATTAACTCCACAGAAGGAAATCTAGGTAGAATTGCAATGTGTATTTTTTTCTGTCTTCTTTACTTAAACAGTAAAATAAAGTATTGAATAGGATGTCAAATACCCAAATACTCTTTTAAAAAATGTTTTGCACCCTTTAGATTATTTTCATTACTAGCAAAGAATTGGACAAATATAACAAACCAAAAACCTTAATAAAATAGGCTTACGGACTGGGGATAGAACTCAGTAGTAGAGTTCTTGCCTAACATGTGCCAGGCCTTGGGTTCAATCCCCAGCATGCACACAAAAATATTAGTAAAATTTTACCCAGTAGACAGAGTAATGCTTTAAAAGGTTTTCTGGTGAATAGCAATTGTAGTAATAGCTTATATTTACATGGTGCTTGTCTGTGTTCCTAGAACTTTCAATTACTCTCAGTGACATTATCTCATTAAGTGAGGTTCATGTTAAGTCAAGGTTACACTCCTTGGTAGAGGGTCATAGGAACATACCTTCCCCCATCAGTTCTACCATAATCGCGTGAAAATTCACAGCAGAAGAGAATTGTTCTGTTTTGTCCTGCTTTTGATCTGTACTATCTAAATACCTGAATTATACATTTGAGGATGTAAAAATGATTCTTTATATTCTTCAAACCCAAAGCCTTTTTTTTTTCCTTTTAAATGCTGGAGATGAACCAGAGTCTCTTCCATACTAGGCAAGTGCTCTACCACTAACATATACCCCCAGACCATGTTTATTTTATTTTGAGGCAAGTCTTGCTTAGTTGCTCAGTCTGCCCTCGAACTTACCTCATTCTCCCAAGTAGCTGGGATTGTAGGCATGTGCCGCTGCACCAGGCTTAAAAAGGATTCATTAAACTTTTTTAATACCAGTATTGGAATTTTAAAAAATCTACGTCTTATGACAGAGTGAATTTTTTTTTAAAATCTTAAGCTAGTAAACAAGAGGTCATTGTTCTTAAACTATGGTATTAAAAACGGCAGAGATAAGAGAAAGTACAGTTTGTCCACCTAGTCCAGAGGCCGAGCATTAGAAAACAGATGCATCCAACCTGGGAATTCTGTCAGGTTTGCAGGCACAAAAACATACAGACGCATTTCAATATGTTGGAAAAGTAGTGCCGGGAAGCACTCTTATCCATAACGTTCACTGAACATTTACCAACGGATTTGATTCCTTTTTTGTTCTTATTATTGTAATTATTTTACATATATTTAAGCAAAAACAATCCCTGTATAGCTGCTATATATAGTTTTAAATCTCCTTGTGGTTCAGATTTCCTTACCAAAGTTCCATGTTGTATAACATTCAGGTTACTAGTATACATTTTCATATAAAATAGCTGTTTATGAGACACATAAAGAAAAATGTAATATTTGAGACTGATACCAGAAACACAATCATACAAACAGCAACCGTGTAGGTTAGAGGCACAAGACCAAATTCTTTCACTTTTGAAATAAAGAGAAAGGACGATGTTTTATGTTTGTTGACATAACTTGAACCCTGAAACCCAAACCATCTTATTTTTAAATGCTCAATTTACCATACTCAGCAAAACACCCAAAACAGAGTAATGTGCATTTCCCCAGTGCCGAGTGACTCTGCCCTTCCCCACAGAATATACCCTTTTAGTGTTGTATTTATCATAGGCAGCTTTCTTGGCAGGAGGAAAAGCTATTCAGCAAAACATAAAAAAGCTCTTAGTAGAAAAGTCATTCATTTTGTAGTTAGCAGGGTTCTACAAATAATAACGGATCACATTGAAGTTCTGTTTTAATAAGTCTGATGTACGAGTCCAGGGAGTTTTATGGCAACAACTCTCTCTCCTTCTCTAGACACACACACACACACACACACACATTTTTTTTTTCCTGCCAGGTAGTCACATTTCTTCCGGCATTGAAAAGCATGAATAGATAAATAAATACAGGAAACACATGTCAACCATAATTTTGAGTTAAGGTCAGCACTGTTTTATCATTCCAGAATTTGTTCTGTAAAAACATTTCCTTTATTTGAAGGCTGTTTTACTTCCTAGACAGTCTTAGTGTTTTCCTGTCCGTTTTATAATGGACCCAAGAACTCAGAAAATCAAGCCCTCCTTTCCTGCCTCTTGACTCTCCTGGTTCTCCAATCTCTGATGAGAACAGGAACTTTGGAAATAGATGAAAAGTTTTGGGGATTAAAACACGAATCCCACCCCTAAACAGTAGAGATACAAGTTTTCCTGCAAGTCCCTGAAGGTGTTTCTCAACAGAGACATTAGTAAAGTACTATTTAAAAAAAATTTTTTTTATTTTTGTTGTAAATGGATAGAATATCTTTATGTATTTACTTCTATGTGGTGCTGAGGATTGAACCCAGGGCCTCACACTTGCTAGGCATGTGCTCTGCCACTGAGCTACAACCCAGCCCCACAAAGTACTATTTTTTCTCTCAAAAAGAATTTCAGGCAAACCAGAATGATCATTTTTTTCCCCTTAAAACATGGATAAGGATATCCATTACAGGCCAATACCAAAACATTATTATTATTATTATAATTATTTTAAAATAAGCTGGACCTCAGTGGCACAGTGCTTGTCTAGCTTGCTTGAGGTCCTGGGTTCAGCCTCCAGCCCCCAAAATAAATATATAAATAAACACATATATAGTAAGCCATTGAAATAATGACTTTAAAAATCCAGCTCCTTTAGTATTTAGCTCGAAACTCCCCATTTTGATAGCACTCTGTAATGTGCCCCATAGCTGCCGTCAGGATAAAGGAGACTGCTCTGTCTCATGTGGCTGGCTTAAATGTTGCCGGTTTATTTAATTTAAAACCTTTTAAGGGCTAACAGGAATGACTTGAAAGAAGAAGGTTCATTTCTCTCTCTCTCTCTCTCTCTCTCTCTCTCTCTCTCTCTCTCTCTCTCTCTCTCTCTTTTCCCAACAAAATGACGTAAAAGTTTTTCACATGGGCCAATCTCCATTGAGGTCGATCGCTGAGGCCCCGATTCGGGAGGTGGCTGTTGAGGAGGTGACAGGGGGATGTCTGTAACAGGATTCTCTCTGTGCTCTGTTTGCCTCATATTCGAAGGAGGTGCTCCAGGAACAATGCAGAGAGTGGAGCCATGCAAGCCTTTTGAGGGGATGAAATTACTTAGCAGACCAGAAACAACCTCTTCTGAATAAAGAAGACAGTTTGCCACATCTTGACAGATTAGGAGAACTCGCTGGGAGGAGTGGGATAAATTACTTCACCTCTCCATGGCCCTTTGGTTCCAAGTGAAGAGCTGAGGGCCCCAGAGGCTCCCGGGAGAACTTCTCACTGAGCCACTTGGCTGGCCTTATGCTGCTGTGGGACATGGCACATGGCACCTGCAGGGCTGCCCCTCCGTAGATGGCCCCCTGACTGACAGCAGGTAGTCTCCAAATGTGCCCTGGCCAGACACAGGACGGCCACAGCCTCCTTGTGCTCCCTAGGGTCACACCTCCCTTGGGCAGGGCTGTGAAGACTCTTCAAACCCATTCAAGGTCCTTTGCCTCCCAAGGGCACTATTTCACATGCTGGGCTTTGGGGTTCCCACTGGCTGCGTTGAAATTACCGTCATTCTTCCTGATGCTCCTCCAAACAATACTGGGATACACTGACAATTGTCCTTATCTGTCACTCCCAACTCTACTAATAGGAGCCTTGAAAACAGGACTGTGCCCCAGTGCTCAGAAGGCTGCCTTGGTGGCTGTTTCTGAAACTTTCTGTGCCTTTGCCCATCTGTGAAGGGGTGCAGGTCTCAAGGACTCAATAGCATATCCTTGAGTGGCATCCATGCTTGGGAGAACATTCTAAAGGTGCTCGCAGTCAGGAACTGGACCACCAGGGCCCTCTGTGCAAATATCCCAGTAGTGGGGTTTTTCTGGAACCACCCATTCCTGCAGAGCCAGGTCCAGGCGGACACAGATGTGGCTGGAGGGCTGCCCTGGGGCCCCCCTGTGGGGCGTGTCTGGAAGTAGGCGTTACCCTGGTGTTGAGGTAGCAACCCCAGGAAATAACCACCACGTCATGTGGCTGGCTGGAGTGGCCCCAATCCCTCCTGCAGGTCACACAGCCGCACCCTTGGGCCAGAGCTGTAGAATTTGCACAGTCATCTTGGACCAGGAAGGCCAGAGACACATTTCTGGCAATGTGAGAGAGGCCTGGCAGTGCCTGAGGCACACGGTTCAGAGCTGCTGAAGAAAGGGGCTTTGTCAGAGTAGAGCCTCCCGTGGTCCCTTGGTCAGCTCTGAGAGGTGGAGTGGACACGGCTCTGGGAGGGAGCACAGTAGGGCCGTAGTGGCTATCTCAGGCAGGCAGCATGTGAGTGGGGGTGCAGGACAGAGCCCAGAGAGTCGGAGTCCATTTTGAGCTGTCTCTGTCTGAAAGATGCTGCCCAGGCCCCTCCAAGGCCCCTCCAGGGCGTTCTTTCCTGCTTGGACCTCCCCAGCTCTGAGCTCAGGCCTGGCCCTCTGGCTTCTCAGGCATGGTAGGCAGTTCAGAACTGGGCTGTGGGGAGGCAAAGGTTCTACGTTTGACGCAGGTGTGGGTCGTGGGCAGACTCCAGTCCTGACCCCAGCAGGGTGTGAGCATGTGGCACACCCTGCACTTTCCCCTGGTGCCAACCCTGGAGAGATGGTGACATTTCTGCCCCTCCCATCCCTGCAGGTGGAGCTCACGGGCAACAGTATTTATGAGTACATCCATCCATCCGACCACGACGAGATGACAGCTGTCCTCGCCGCCCACCCACCTCTTCACCATCACCTGCTCCAAGGTAGTTCCTCCAGGTGAAAGTAAACAAGGCCACGTTCTTAACTATGACCCAGGGCTTGGCTTACCACACCTGCCAAGGTCTAGGGGTTACCAGGGCAACACTTGGCCCCATCAAGTGGGAGGTGCATTTTGGCCTCTTTTAAACCAGATTATTTAAACCAGCCCCCATTACTGCCAAAGACTATTCAGTGCTGCCGGGGACGAAGGTGCTCGTGATTTAGAATTGCAGGTTGCAGCCTCACGGGTCTAGACCTGGGCTGCAGCTTCTGAGGATACCGCCCAGGGGGCTGTGAAACTGCCTAGGGAAAACTGCACCTGAAATTCCCCTGGGTGACAGCGGTTCCTTTGCTATGACCACAGACTGTAAACCATCCTGAGAGCAGGAGGACAGTGGCTTTGCTATTTTCATGTTACCTTGTAGCCATGGTGGACATTTCAACATATCATTTATGCTCGTGGCTACTGCAAAATTCTGGAAGTCATGAGAGCCACCACTGAATCTTGTTATTTAATGTAGTGATAAAATAGCACACTTACATCCATGTTCAGGGCGTGCCACTATGTGTTTGAATACTGGGATAACTACTTTCCTACACAGTTGGTTTGTTTTGTAACTATATGCATTTTATTTTGTGCATTTAAAAGTGTTACTCTGAGCAGGGGTCTAGGTTTTTTTTTGCCATAGCACAAATCAGTTAAGAAGTCCTGAGCATCACAAAATCATAACAAATGCTGGGAAGATACAGAAGTTTTCTAGGGACCCTGGCCTCTTTGTGGACAGCTCAGAGAGGCCAGCAGGCTAATGGGTCTCACTTATGCCTTAGACTATAGTACCCAATGGGGCCCCAATTCCCCAGTGGAACAAAATGCAAATAAGAGACTTCAAAGTGGTGAGGACATTTAGCCATGGAGGAGAAATATGGCTTTCATTCTTATTGCTCCCTCCTGGGGAAGATTACCCTCAGGCTTGGAGGAGGGACCACAGAAGCGCATGCTCAGTTGTCCAGCAGCAGTTGATCTCGCTGTTCCTTTCCAAGGAGAGAGTCTGGTGTGCCAGCTTCTGAGACAAGACGGGCCCGACTATAACTACAGCCTGTGATAGTCGTTGGGATGGGATGGCGTCTAAATCAACATGAAAAAAAATGATGCCGAGAGAGTCATGCAAGAACAGTGACTAATTCTTCCACTGTGGCGTGTTTTCAAAGCTGGACACAGATAGCAGGAGTCCTAGAGAATTCCTCAGAACACCATGTTGTTGCTTAAAACCCCCGCACAGGGCGCCCCCTGCCTGGCAGTGGCCTTCTGCTACTGCCCTGGGTTTCATGTTCCCCTTCCTGTGTTGTAGCCTCTGGAAAAGTGTTGAAAGAATGAAAGTAAGTGCAGCTGGGGTACAGTGAGGCCCGTCTACTCCCTTACTGTGGGGTTCGAGGCTGAGGTGGAGAGCAGTCCTAGAGGAGAGGCAACAAGCTGCTGACTCCCTGCAGCGCCAGCCCAGGGGTGCGGGCAGGGCTCCCGAGCACACGGTGCTCTTCTCACTCACAGATTTTCTGCCTGGATGGAACCCCATTGTTTTATGGTGAAATGTGTGAGAAGTGCGCCCTCCCCCCCGGATGAATAAGACCAGGTGGTACTTTTGAGACGTGGGCTTCCACACCTCAGTGACACCTGTCTGGTTCAGACAGGAGGACTATGGGTAAAGCACATGGCCTGTCCAGCTGGGGAAACCAAGGAGGCCTCTGAGTCGATTCCCAGACTTCCATGAGGCAGTGTCCTCAGGGACGGTGGAAGACCTTGCTCCACTCCAGCCCCCCTTTTTTTTTTTTTTGGTTACTGGAGATTGAATTCAGGGGCACTCGACCACTGAGCCACATCTCAGCCCTATTTTGTATTTTATTTAGAGACCGTGTCTCACTGAGTTGCTCAATGTATCACAGTTGCTGAGGCTGGCTTTGAACTCACAATTCTCCTGTCTCAGCCTCCCAAACCGCTGGGATTACAGGTATGCGCCTCCATGCCCGGCCCAATCCTTTTTTAATGATAAATTTATCACCAGGCACAATGGTGCATGCCTGTAATCTCAGCCTCTCAGGAGGCTGAGGCAGGAGGATCTCTAGTTTAAGGGCAGCCTCAGCAACTTAGTGAAACCCTGTTTCAAAATGGAAAAGGGTTGGGAATGTAGCACAGTGCTAGAGACTTGCCTAGCATGTGTGAGGGCCTTGTATTTATTTACAAAATAAATAAATAGATAAACTTATTAACCTCCAACAAATGTCTATTTAGAGTGGAGTGACAGCCCCTCACTCGGAGGTGTGGCCTTTCTCTATTGCTGTCTCCGAGGGCTGGTGTCCTTTAAAGCAGAGGAGGACTCCTGTATGTTTGCAAGAGTGAGAACAGAGATTTATGCACAGGGCCTTTCAAAGAAAGGAAAGAAAGGTCTGGCTTGGCTAAGCTGTGAGGGGTTCCCTGGGGAGGTGGAGGAGACAAGGGCTGCTCCTTCCAGGGCTAGAAATGCGGGCCAAAGCTTTGCTCTGGCCACGGTGGTTCTCGGCACCCAGCGCCCACAGTGCAGCTGGTAGGAGGTATGAGTGGCTGGCCCCCTCTGCTAGGGAAAGAGCCTACGCTGTGACTGACACTTAGCATCTGCTACCTGAGGGGAGTCAGACTCTTCTGGGCCTTCATGGTATCTCAGGTACCCACTCCAAGACTGCCAGGAAGTTCTCCCGATGCCAAGCCACTCTGTGGCCTCTAGGAGGTGACGGTGGCCGGTGGAGCTCTGCCAGGCCCTGCCCTTGACTCCAGGCTGGCCTCCAGGCTGTGGCTGAGATTTGAGCTGCTCTCTTTTGGGACCTGTGGAAGCCACACCAGGACAGGGCCAGTCTCTCCCCTCCCCACCCAGACCTTAGCAAGGTCTCAGGGTCAGGGTCGGGGCACAGAGGAGCAGGCCTCTGACTGTGGCCCTGGGAATTTCATGATGCTGTGTGGGGGGAAGATGGGAAGCAGGTGGGACAGTGGCCCATGGAACCTCGCTCCTGCTTTCAGAGTACGAGATAGAGAGGTCCTTCTTCCTCCGAATGAAGTGCGTCCTGGCAAAAAGAAACGCGGGCCTGACGTGCAGTGGATACAAGGTATGAAGGGCCCTGGGGGACGGAGAGCTGGCCGCGGTTCTGCACTGGGTACTTGGTATTCCGCTTCACACTCAAGGATGTCTGCAGAAGGGAAGCCTTGGAACCGAACGTGTCATCCCCACCAGGGCAGAGGTCTTGAGTGACTGACTCATGGCTGCTTCTGAGGCCCATGTAAGGGCTGGTGCTTTAGAGGGATAGTCCAGCCTGGCTGGCTTTCGTCCCACGAGACCAGAAGTGGCTGTGGCTCAGGATAGACTTTTGCCCTGGTGCCCACAAGTTCCACTTTGCATGATGGACAGTCCCACAGTAGCAGCTGCCCCTGTTGAGGATCCACATTCCTGGGCAAGGTCCCGGGCCATAGTGAGTGCTCAGAGCACAGAGATGTCACTCTTACCCTGGAATGCTCCATCATCCAGGGCTGGTGATCATGAGCTTGACAGTGATAACAGGGCCCATTCTTAGGTGCCAAGTAGAGCTTTGCTCTGAGGTACCACGTCTGGTGAATACAGTCACCCCAGCCCTTGGACGGGAGGGTGGCTGTCCTCGTTGTGTACTCAAGGAGGGGAGCAGAGAGGGAGAAGGATGGTGAGCCTTGTGGAGCCGGGACCTCCATGCCCAGCCCTGCTCCTCCTTGGCCTCATCCGTCTTCCAGACAGGTCGCTTGCTCTGGCTAATTCCGACGTCTAGGAGCAGGTGACCTGCAGAGCCGGCTGGCAGTGTCGTTCCACAATGTCAGAGGTAGCTGACGTGGGTTAAGGAAGTCTGCTGTGCCCCAGGAGCCTGTTACCCTCGGTCCTCTCTCTGAGCTCCCCACTGCCTCCAGGATCCTCTCTGCTGTCCTCCCTGAGAGGTCACAGCCATCAGTCACTCTGCAGTTGGAGGCAGCTAGGAGCCTTTTCGAGAAACATTTGTTCCTTTGAAGAGGAGGGAGGAGGGTGGGGAGAAGAGGAGGCATCTGTGTCTTTGTCCTCTCTTTCTGGAACACCCCTCCCAGCCCCTCCCAGCCCCTCCCAGCCCAGGGCCTTCCTTCCCCCCAGCTCCTCCCAGTGCCTTCCCCATTCCAGGCTGACCCTTCCCCTTGGGCCCTCCTCGGCCACCTCACTCTGAGCTCTTCCCTTGGACCTCGACCCCCTCATTTGTTCTGTTTTATTTTACTTTTGCCATACTAGGGATGGAGCCCAGGGCCTGCCACCGAGAGGCAAGAGCTCTCCCACCGAGCTGCTCCCCCAGCCCCTGCTCCCTTTGTTTCTAATTGTCCCAGGCTCTAAGCCGCATTGGGCCAGGATGGGCAGCCACCAGCCCGGCCTCTCCCCGAGACATTCTTCAGGAGACTTGGCTCTTGACTTGTTTCTGCTGCGTATTAACTGTCCAGCTGTCTAATCTGCAGCAGAACATCACCTGTCTATCTTGTCCTCATCTCCCTGCTCAGTAAAATGGGAGAATAGACTACAAGGATTTGGAGATTTCTTCCAGCTCTACAGACGATGAATACCTTGAGGGATCCTGGAGAAAGGGTTTTTGAACAGAGAACTTGAAGGCTAAGAATGTCAGTCTGTACCACGGCAGTTACGATGATCGTGATTCTAGCACGATTTTACTGACTTAATATGTTTTTTGCCATCCTGGATCCCAGAGTCTCATGCAGGCCAGGCAAGCTATACCCTGCAGAGCTATGCCCCAGCCTGTTACCGACTTTAACTGGCATAAATGCTTCTTCTCATCAGGTTCCAGGTGGTACAGAGGTTCCTGTTTGAACTTGGTGCATTCTTGCCTACATGGTCTTTGGCTCTAACTGGAAGCCTTCTAGATAGCCACTCTGACTTGTTGATTATTAAGATCTTGAGTTAAAATACATGAAATTAAAAGACATAAAAATGAAGATTTTTTTTAAAAATCTATTGAAAGGATTCCTAATTTACTGGCGTGTAGGAGCATGTCAAGTGATGCAGAGGTCAGATTCAGTCCCAAAGGAAGGTGGGAATCGTTTTAATTACTGAAGCGAGCATTAGTGAAACAAATGGCTGTCTTCTAAGAAGGTCTTGCTGTGTTCTCTAAGCACCACTCGCAGTGGGTTCCTTACATATAAACTCATCCTATGTCAGAAAGCCCTAATTTGTGACATTCCTTACTCATGGTTGACAGAATAAGACAGCCCTTATATTTTACTGTGACACTGTCTGCTAAGAAAGGCATCTGTCAGCATATTGGCCACACACTCGGTAGAACCTGGGTTGGGGACGTTCCATGAAAGGAGTCAGGAGGAGTGGGTGCCACGGCCAGCTGACCTGCCCTCTGCTCCCCCAGGTCATCCACTGCAGCGGCTACTTGAAGATCAGGCAGTACATGCTGGACATGTCCCTGTACGACTCCTGTTACCAGATCGTGGGGCTGGTGGCGGTGGGCCAGTCCCTGCCTCCCAGTGCCATCACAGAGATCAAGCTGCACAGTAACATGTTCATGTTCAGGGCCAGCCTCGATCTGAAGCTGATATTCCTGGATTCCAGGTGAGTGTGGCACCTGCCAACAGCACTGCTGTGACATTCTGGAAGATACCGATGACAGAAATTGGCCCCAGAGAGCTCCGCGATGTTAAGCCAAACTATAACAAGGAATAAGTCCTACTAAGAATGTGGATTAGAAAGGGATTTAGTGAAATCTAGTCATGAATGGAAAGAATTAATTCAGCTTTGGACTCTGGGACTTATTTTAATTAATTAAGTTATATTTGAATCATTTCAGCGGACTTTGGAATGGGAATATGTGTTGTGGGCAAAAGTTATCCTTTTCTGAAGGCCCACAACATCAGAAATATGTCTCGTCTCTCCGCCAAGCCAGTAGGATTTTAAAACCAATGGGTTTCCACACTGAGCAGTGTGTGAAGCCCTCAGATCCCCCACAGCCATGGCAGACTGGAGGCTGGGAGCAGAGAGGTCGCCTTCCCGGGGGGAGCACTTGACCACAAGCTCAGCCAGTGCCCTGCCTGTGTCCGGGCTGGGGGAAGGGAGCGTGAGTGAGGCAGAGGCACACCGATTCTTGTCTCTGGAGGCTGTGCCAGAGCAGCCTCAGGTCTCTCCCAGGGTAGGCTGCTGGCCTCAAAGTCTTTGTACTTTTTATTATTTTTTAACTGAAATTTATTTTTGCAAGTAATAACTGTATTTTTGTGGGGGATGATGAGATGTTTTCGCTCATGTATGGTCTTGAGGCTTTGGCTTGTGGGGCCTCTTCCATTTTCTTATCTGCAAAATGAGAGACCTGTCCATGCACTGGCTACCACAAGACTAGAGAAGGATGAAATTAGATGAGAGATGAGAAACAGAAAACTCAGAGCCTCAGCTGCAAACCCAGAGCCTGCAAGGCCACCTTGTTTTTCATCCCATAGATTCCTGGACTGTGCAGGCAGGAATGAGCTGTCAGATCCTTCTTTTAACTTGGCATATGTGGCTGAGATTTCTAGGAGAGGGGATATATCCATTTTGTTTCCTGTGTGTCCTGAAGCTAGGATTTACTGATTATATTCCCCACTTTTTTTGTTGAAACAGGGTCTTTCTATGTTGTTCAGGCTGACCTTGAACCAGAAGTTCAAGAAATCCTCCTGCCTCAGCTTTCTGAGTAGTTGTGATTATAGGTGTGCACTACTGTGCCTGGCTACTACTTGTTATTCTTACTTTTTTACTTTTAAAAGACAAAGCTAGGTAGGGGCAGGAGGTAGAGACAGAAATGACTTGAGCTTACCATGATTGTATCTCCGAACCATCCAAGACAGAGGAGCAGCAAGAGGTGGTGTTAGAGAGTCACCATTATTGTCACAGAAACTGCAAGCCAAGGGCAACTAGGACTCTTTGGGGGAGCTGCTGACACCTTTGAGGGTGGCCCAAGGGTGACAAATGCTCTCTTCCTGCCCTCCAGAAGGAGCCCCTGTGGGGAGGAGGCCAGGCCAGCTGCCTCCTGCAGTGGGCCATGCAGTGACAGGAGACTTCTTTCCCAATTTAGGAATCACTTGTGAAAGCAGGCTGGAAATTGGCTGTCCAAGGTCATTACCGAGGGAACTAGGGAGGATCCAACTACTTTCTCCCTTGTTTTGCCTCCTAATATTTCTCAGACAATTAAAAACAAACAAACAAACAAAAATCACCCTGAGATTCCAGTGAATTCTCTAGGAGAGGAAAGAAGGGGTGTCCCAGAGGGAAGATGTGGAGTCTTTTCAAGTTGTTCAGCCCACACCACTGTGAAATGCAGAGGGTCTTCCAGCAAAGGGTGCAGGTGGTTAGCTGGAAGACGGGCTGCTTCCTGACGAGTTCCTCAGATACGGCCTGTGGGGTACCAGTGAGCGTCTGTGAAGCTCCCTGTAAGGGCTGCACCCCTGGAGAAACTAGAGAAAAAGGGTAAAGGTCTCAAAGGCTGGGTGCAGTGGTGCACACCTGTAATCCCAGTGGCTCTGGAGCTAGAGGCAAGAGGATCGTGAGTTCAAAACCAGCCTCAGCAATTTAGTGAGGTGCTAAGCAACTCCATGAGACCCTGTCTCTAAATAAAACACAAAAAATTGGGCTGGGGATGTGGCTCAGTGGTCGAGTGCCCCTGAGTTCAATCCCTAGTACCTCTCCCCCCTGAAAAAAAAAAAAAAAACCTCACAGGAGACTTCCTGTCCCCACCTAAGCCCTGCAATACTTCCTATTAAGTATCAGGAAGCTTCTAGTAAAGCCTCAGGCTTTTCTAAACTCCTTCATGGAGGAGGGGTTCAGGGGCCAAAGTGCACTGGAGAATCTCTCAAGGTCACTGTGGTCTTGCTTTGGTTGCAGTTCCTATGGTTTTTGAAAGGCCTATGGGCCAGGGGATAGTGGCTTGGGCTGGCCCAGTACTGGAGGGACAGCAGTGGCCAGGCTGGGTGGAGGCGTCAGCTTCTGGTCCAAACCCCAGGAGCCACAGCAAGGGCTTGGCCAGAGGCCCAGTGGCTTCAAGTCACAGGAGCAAGGGTGGTAGGCTTCAGGGGGCCCTTGGCATGCTACCCAGGATGGTCCCAGGCAAAACCGAACTCAGCATGACCTGACATTAGGTACCTAGGGGTTTGTGGCACTTCATTTTGAAACTGTAGCTGGAGCTTTTGCTAAGGATGGGTGAACCCAGCGATGTTTGGGGTTTGGCAGATCCCTGTGACAGGTCTTCAGACACTAGAGGTTTGGAAAAAACCAGGAGGGCATCTTGCCAAGCCCTTCCCCTTCCCTTTAATTTTTAAAGCCAGTATGTACTTTGATGAGAAACTCGATACATGTGTTTCTGATTCATTTACACTTTCAGGGCCCTTGTTCTATAATTTGACGTCTAGGAGGCTAAGAAGCCTCTTTCATCTGGTGCTGTGGAGATGTCTGTTTTTCTTTTTGGGGGAAGCCAGACATCTCAATTTCCTGCCACGTGGAGTTTGACTCCGATGGGGCTTGAAGTTCTAGGTGGCCCTTAGACAAGTCCCTTGAACCCTGAATGACCGGACTGGAGGCAGTAAAGTCTCCTTTCTCTGCCTCAAGCCCCGTTCCTTCCCCACCTTGTAGGAACACCTTGGGGATGTGCACACCAAATAGGGAGCCCCTCCTGGGAACCCAGAGGCTTCCAGAGACTTACCACCCAAAGCCCCAGCAGAGCTCAGCAGAAGGGGAAGCGGGCTCGAGAATGGTGGTGAGGTCATCGCCCAGTTTAATTGCAGTTCATATTTTACATATTTCATACCCTGCCTAGTAGGCCCTCCCGGGCGCCCTGGCCTTCCTGGGTGCTCCCTCCTCACTGCTGCCCCCAGGACTGATTCTCACCATAGTCTCGCGGCCTTTGGAATCTCTTCCTGTCCTCCTCTTTCATCTGTCTCTGCATATCTGTCACCACAACACTGGCTTAGGACCACCCCCTCTAAAGACACAGCTCCCAGCTCGGGGGCTGCAGCTGGGGAATCTGACCATTGCCACCGCAGTTTCACCTACAGACAGAGCCACCCCAGGCCTTCAGTGCGGAGGTGGTCTTGGATGCTGACAGCTACTGTTCTTCAAAGAGCCGGAATGGGAAATTAATCTGCCCAGGGCTTGACGGAATAAAGAGGGGTGGAGTCCCACAGGCACTGGATAGAGGCTCCCATTTCTATGGAGAGCTTCGGGTCTGCCCTCTAGTCACAATATCCTCAGATGTCCCACTGCTCCTGGGGGGTCTGAGATAATCCTCTAGTGATACGAGACTTAAACATCTGCAGTTTTCCATAATTCCCATTAGTAGGAATCACCCAACTGCAGGGTCCCAGAGATCAACTGTGTCCATTAGGAGTGTCCAGCATGGAGTGGAGATTTAAGCAACCCAAGTGCCCGTCCACAAAGTGCAAAACGTGATCTCTGCCTGAAATAGAGGATTGCTGTCATCATAGCCTCTTTCTCCCCATGTCGGTATCAAAGCTCACTCCTATGTGCCCTCAGAGAAGCTCACCCCTGAAAAAGCCCGCAGTCCTAAGCCATCCCAAACACACTTTGAGCCAGGGGTTTCAGAACATTCCTGCTCACAAATAGTGCTACATCCTGCATTGGGCGAGACTTCAAAGATTTGCTTCTTGTAAAAAAGATCACTCTCAGTTTCCAAAATCAACATTTCCCCCCTGAGCCTTTTAGCACTTGATTAGTTGGCAAAACCAATATTAGTTTAAATGAAAGGCAATCTGCAGAGCAATGTGACTCACGGAGCTGCCGTCCTCCCCCAGGGTGACCGAGCTGACAGGCTATGAGCCACAGGACCTGATTGAGAAGACGCTGTACCACCACGTGCACGGCTGCGACGCATTCCACCTCCGCTACGCGCACCACCTCCGTGAGTAGTACCACCCGGGCCTGGGAGGCAGCTGGCCGGGGAGGGGGCATCCCTTGCCTGGCACAGTGTCCAGAGGAGCCTGAAGCCTCCGAGGGGCTTCCTCACAGATGCCAGTTCTCGAGCATCCCCTCCAGAACGTGCTCATGAAGCCGGCAGGTGCAGGGTGTTGGGGAATTGCCTGGATTCCAGATCGTGGACTTGGAATCCAGCTTCTCTATGAAGTCTGCACACCAGCTATGAATAATGGCAGTAACCAGAGAAGAATTGACCCCTGAGCACTTAACTGTGGTCAGGGACTGGTTTAAGGGATTAAACAGATTACTAACCCAGTGAGGGGGAGTCTCGTGTGCATGCTTCTCCTTCTACTGTTGAGGATGCTGAGGTCCAGTGAGGTAGAGCCACTTGCCTATGGTCACTCATCAGGGAGGTGGCAGATCTAGGAGTCAAACCTAAGCAGAGTCCAGTTGCTGAACCCCGATCCTGCTGGCGATGCTCAGGGGAGGACTACATGTTCCATGATAGAAATCAGCTTGGAATGAGTGAACAGAACAGTGTTTGATCGGCCAATGGAGGTGATTTGGGGATATCTGCATGTTTCAGAGGGGATGCTCCAGTCACCGAAGTATCACTATCAAAGTGACACTCCGAGAGTCCAAATGCAGCAAAGAATAATTTGGATGGAGTGGACACCTCCTCTTCCTGCTGCTGTTTAGTGGGTTCATACAGATGGCCAGAGGAGCCCGGTCTCCTGCAGAGGGACCCAGAGAGCTCGTCCTCTGTTCTGGCTTTGCTGGGTTAACTAAGAGATGTTAGAAGACAAGTGCTGGTATCTTGTCGGAGGTGGGCGGCAGGTCCCGGGGCAGCTCTGTCTGCAGCCACATTGTGCAGTGTGGAACACGGCATCACTAGGGTGTGGCTGCTGTTTTCTTCTCCCCATGTCGCCACAGGCAGAGACCGTGGCAATCAGGACTTTCAGCTGGGCAGACTCCTTGCTCCCGTGTGCACATGAAGACTCGGAGTTGTAAACCAACCTTCCTTCCTTCCTTCCTTCCTTCCTTTCTTCCTTTCTTCCAAATCACAATCTCATAAGCATCCCTGTTACTCCTGAGACCAAGGTGGGTAGGAAAGCAACAGCTTAGCGTCTGGATGGAGTCTGTAGGAGAGCCTCACCCCTGAGGGAGCTGGAAGTGCAATGGGGGCAGCCATCCCACGGGCTCCTGGGAAGGAGCATGCTGGGAGCTTCTGCTGCAGCAAGGGGGTTTCAAGCCAGCATTGAGCTGCACGGGAGAGAGTTGCTCAGAGTGTGGCTGGACGCTGCCCACGAGGCCTCTGAGCCTGGGGAGAGAGAACCTGTGGCGTTCAAAGTCCTCACTTCTTAAATTTTTATTTTATTTGTGGTGCTGGAGATGGAACCCCTTTCCCTGAGAGAAGGTAAGAGGATTTGTGCTTTGGAAAAATCATGAAGGTCCCAGTGATGCTAGTCAGGTGGCCCTTGTGACCCTGGCCAGGGCCAGAATGGGCAAATCAAAGAAAACCAGAAAAAGGCAATAGTAGCAATGATGGCGACCGTTCCATGGCTCTGACGGTGGCTGGGGCTGAGCAGCTCTGGCAGAGACGAGGGGACAGCAACCCTCTTCCCGGGCTCAGGGAGGGCGAGCATGGTTGGATCCACCGTGAGCCCCTGTGTCTGCCCAGCCTCCCCTCTGCCAGGGTTTCCTGGTGCACTAGAGGGGCTGGCATCAAGGAGTCCAGGCGTTCACCCAACAGAGTGCCGGGAGCCGACCCCAGAACTCATGGCTCGCTTCCACGTCGAGACAGGCCCTGTGCGTGGGTAGCACAGCCCTCAGGGCAGCCATGACCTCAACCTGGCAGTTTACCCTCAGTGTCTGTCACTGTGACCAAAATACCTGACAAGGACACTTAGAGGAGGAAAGATTTATTCTGGCTCATCGTGTCAGAGGATGCAGCCACAGGCAGCTGGCTTGAGGGCAGAAATGTCAGGGGGGAAAGGCGCGGCCGAGGAAAGCCGTCCACTCATGGGAGCTAGGAAGCTGCAGGGGAAGAAAGAGAGGAAGGGCCGGGGGACAGGAAACCTCTCCCCAGTGACCGCCTCCTCCGATGGCTCCTACCTCCCTGCTGCCCAGTCACCCATCAATGATGGGTCCACTGATGAGGTCAGGGTCCCAGGGATCCACTCACTGCCTAAAGCCCCAGCTCTGAACCTTGCTCTGGTGGGAACCAGGCCTTCACCAAGAGACTCTGGGGGTCATTCCAGATCCAAGCCCTAACCCCCTCCTCTCCCAAGCCAGACTCATCAGATAAAGTAAGGGCATATCGCCAGCAGCCGGGGTGGTGGGGTTGGGACTTCATGATGTGACACTTTGGCAACTTCAAAACCTCTTCAGTGTGTGATCCCAGAGGCTCCCCTTTCTTCCCCAGGACCAGAACTGGGGCCAGAAAGGCCAGCGCCAGGCTTCTGGTCCCAGCTCTCCATCCCTGGGAGGCACCTGTTATATTTCCTTAGACTCCAGTTACAGCCCCTGAGCTTGGAGTTCAGGGGCAGTTGTTGGGTGGGGAGAGGGAAATGAGCAGGGAGGAAGAGTCTGCCTCTATGGGCTACTGCACCGGCGGCTCATGCTCAGTCTCCGGGACTCTGGAGCCCGTGTGGGCCCCTGCCCCAGAGTTATGGAGCCCAAGGGAGAGGGAGTGGAGGTAGTTAGACTCCAGCTCCTGACAGTCATTGCCTGAGGACTGATCTCAGGGCAGGGCCTGAGGAGGGAGGGCAGGCAGGCAGCGGGAGTGGCCACCGGCTGTTGCCCAGGTCAGCCTCCCCCAGCCCCTCCTCAGCTGCCACTCCCCTGGCCACCATCTGGGGCTGTGTGACGCAGTCCAGGCACCGGCCTGCACCCGTTCCCCTCACCTGCCAGCCCTGGCTCTCGACTTCTCTCTGTTTGGTGGGGCCACACCTCTCTCAGGGGCACCGTCACCTCTCTGCCTTCCTTGCCTGGGACCCTGTTGGCCAGCTGCAACGTCCTCCCGTGCAGCTCCTGCTTGAGGGCTGAGGGAGCCCCCACACAGGCCAGTTCTCTGCACTCCGCTGGGTGCCAGCGGCTGCCACCTCTCCTCCTGGGGCCATGTGTCCAGCTGCTGCTGGCCCCATAGAGCCCACCCAGGGACCCAAGTCCTTTCTTCCCTTCACCTCCTCATGGGGACTGGGCAAGATTGCGAGGGTGGCCATGACAAAACTTGCCGACGAGGTGGCCTAAGTGACAGACACTTATTTTTCCACAATTCTTAGACAGGAAGTCCAGGATCAGGGTGTTGGCAGGGTTGGTTCCTTCTGGGCCCCTCTCCTTGGCTTGTAAGTAGTGCCTTGTCCTGTGCCCTCACATGGATGTCCCCGAGTGCGTCTGCGTCCTCATCTCCTCTTCTTGTAAAGACACCAGTCACATGAATGATGTGACCCCAGGCCTCTGTAATCACCTCTTTGAGGGCCTGTCCCCAAGCACAGTCACGCTCTGAGGTAGGAGGGTGAGGCCTTCCACAGGGAACCTCATGGGCAGGGGACCCGATCCCACCTGCTTCTCACCCAAGTCGTGGGCTGGGCTGCCTCAGTCCAGCTGGCCGGGCGGCTTGGAGAGCACGGTGAGAAGCTGAGAAGGCTGAAGGCGTAACTTTGCAATGTGATTTTTCAGTCTTGCCACACGGTGCTAGGGCTCAGGGGTCTGGCCCGAGAGGAGGCCCCCAGGCTGGCCTGTTATTGTAGCCTCCTGCCCTGCCATGCTCCACCCAGAGCTGCATCATGGCTGCTGCCGACCCAGCACTTGAGTCCTTTGCTCTGATCATTTAGACCTGGCCTGCTGGCTCTCTTAGGAACACAGGGACATTGGCAGCCTCTACTGCTCCCCCTCCATCCTCCACAGATGGCTGCAGGTACCGTAGGCCACTGTCCCACCCACCTGGGCTCCTTAGGACTTCACAGTGAGAGGCACAGATGCTCCTTCCTGCCAGTTGGTGAGATCCCTGAGCACAGGGACGGAGCAAGCAGCAGCCACCCTGTGGGACCAGAGTGGGGTCACTGTGAGGTTTCTAAGACTACACTCTGCACACTGGTGTGCACAAGCCAGGCTCTCTGGAGACAGGGCCAAGGCCCTGCAGAGGCCTAACTGGACACGAGAGCCACAGTCAGCTGGTTTTCACACATTTTTTAAATATTATCTTTATTGGGAGTGAGAGTCCATGGGGTCTGCAGAATCGCGGTCCCCCAAGAAAAATAACTCACAGCCTTCCAGAAAGTCAAGTGTGAGCAAAAGCAGAGCCTGGCAGTGCTGTCGGGAGGCCTCTGGGGTCAGTGTGAGTGGCACCGCAGCCCAGGGGGGGCTTCTGTGGGCCGCAGTGGCAAGTGGGCCTGGTGTCCCAGGGAAGGTCTCCAAGTGAGGCTGGGCCAGGTCTACCTCAGAACCTTCCATGACAACAAGTGAAGACGGGACCTCACAGGAGAGACTGTGGCCTTCCCACCCACCCCACCTCACTCCTGTGGGGCTGCGGAGGTTCCTGGGGACCCCAGGCATGATGCAGTCATCTGGCCTCAGACTAGAGAGGCCACGCTCTCCCAGACACCCTCTCTGCTACGTTGGGAGACTTGGCAGGTCCTAGGGGTGAGCAGAGGACAGGCTGGTGGGGAGGGCTCGGTGTCTGCACACCTGATGATAGGTGTCGAGGGACACCTGGTGGGCTTCTGTGTCCATGGTTCAGAAGAATCGTGACCTTCCACAGGACTGAGAATTTCACCTCTTTGGGTAGGCCCCTATCCAGAGTGGACCAAGCCGAAATGACAGAAGAGAACGCAGGCCATGTCCCAGAAAGGCTTTGGGGCCTGAATGTGTAGTTTATAAAATTTTAAGCAGAACTGTTATGACAAAATTATAGGACATTAGAGTAACTAGCATAGAGCCGAGGAGAACACTCTCTGAAGGACACACGGTAATAATAGTCATAAG